GTGCCGTCCGGATTTATGGGCTGAACGTGAGACGAGGGAGGACAGTAACGTCAATTTTCGATATTTTTAGTCTTTGATTTTTTCGAAATTTTTGAAAATTTTGGGCTTGCGATGTGGCGCTCAGCTTATCAGTCTGTCGGGAAAATAATGTGGACAATGTCGCAGCAAAATTTCTAATTTCTTGCTTCGTTGTAGTCGCACAACAAATTTCCAGTCGCGGGTAGCCGTCGCAGAGCGACCCCAAAGCGCTAAAAATCCACATTATTTTCCCGACAGACTGATAATACTCAAAATTGAACCACCAGCCTCTTATTAGTCTGTCGGGAAAATAATGTGGGTTTGTGGCAGCAAAGTGTTTCGCCTCGTCTTTGTCGCTCATTAATCCCCGGTCGTTGCAAGCTGTCGGGGAAATAATGTGGATTTGTCGCAGCAAAATTTGTAATTTCTCGCCTCGTTGTAGTCGCTAAACAAATTTCCAGCCACGAGTAGCCGTTGCAGTGCGATGATGGGCGACCCCAAAGCGCTACAGTTTGCTGCGACAAATCCACATTATTTTCCCGACAGGTTGATACTGCTCAAAACTGCATTAACAGCCTCTTATTAGTCTGTCGGGAAAATAATGTGGGTGTGCCGCAGCAAAATTTTTTAGCTCCTCGTTGTAGCTCATTAAATCCCCGGTCGTTGCAAGCTGTCGGGAAAATAATGTGGACTTGCAAAATTTCTCGTCTCTTTGTAGTCGTTCAAAAAATCTCCAGTCGCGGGTAGCCGTCGCAGAGCGACAATGGGCGATCCCAAAGCGCTACAGTTTGCTGCGACAAATCCACATTATTTTCCCGACAGACTAATACTGCTCAAACTTGACCCACCAACCTCTTATCAGCCTGTCGGGAAAATAATGTGGGCTTGTCGCAGCAAAGTGTTTCGCCTCGTCTTTGTCGCTCATTAAATCCCCGGTTTGTTGCAAGCTGTCGGGAAAATAATGAGCACAATGTCGCTGGGCAAATCGCGTCGCTGAAGCCACTGAATTGAAAGAAATTTGGTTTTCCCGCGACACAATTAATTTTCCCGGCGACGACGCCATTTTCGCTGCGACAGAATGCTCATTATTTTCCCGACAGACTGATAGTAAATAATTTCATAAAGAGCGTAGACTTTTTTTTCCACATTCTGTCACAATTCTATATACGTCTCGGCAATATTTTGATTGCAAAAACTGAGACAAAAAGTCTACGCACTTTGTGAAGTTACTATTACACAATATACATAGTTCAGCAAGGCCAAAAATCATTTCCTGAAAACTTTACTTTGCCCTTTGCAAATGGCATCCATGATATTCAACGAATTCTTTATTTTCGATTTCTTGGACCACCTTCGAATTTTGCATGAAATATGGGCTTGGCAAAAAACTTCCCGAACTTTTTACAATACAATTTTTTTGACGTTACTACAAAAAGGATATAATGCATATATATATAAACTATGGTGCGAAGCAGTTTCTTGGCCATTTTCTTTGTGCCCTTGAGCAGATTAATGATTATTTTGGGGGCTTTGACAAAAAAAGGCTTGACATGTATGCACGAACACGGCTACTAATAACTGGTCATATTGTGGGATGATCTACAGTAACGGACCTGATCCAGTGGCAAAAAACGCACCATTTTGCATCCGGGAAGTATCAAAAATGTGGCAAAATGCTTCCCTGTCCAAGTAAAAAAAAACTCCGATTTCAAAAACTTTTTATTTTTTTGAGAGGAAAAAGGCGCGCCGTTCAAAACGGAGTCTTTTTTTTAGTTGGAGAGGGAGGCATTTTGCCACATTTTTAATGCCTCCCGAATGCAAAATGGCACGTTTTTTGTCACTGTATCAGGTCCGTCACTGTAGATCAATTTTCCCGACAGGCTGATACAGTGGGGAACGGCAATAAACGTACCATTTTGCATCCGGGAAGTATCAAAAATTTGGCAAAATGCCTTCCTCTCCAACAAAAAAAGAACTCCATTTTTGAACTGCGCCCTTTCTCTCAAATATTATACCTTCCTCTCCAAGTGAAAAAACTCCGATTTCATAAGCGCGCCCGCTATTTTTGGCAGGAAAAAAGTGCGCCCTTCAAAACGGAGTTCCTTATTAGTTGGAGAGGGAGGCAGTTTGCCACATTTTTGATACTTCCCGGAAGCATAATGGTACGTTTTTTGCCACTAGATCAGGTCCGTCACTGCTGTATTTTCATGAAGTGCGTAGACTTTATTTCGCAAATTTGCGACATAAAACTTTCGTACTGTCGAAAGTTGTAAGCGTTTTTTAACTGCCGCAAATTTTATTATATATTATACATGTTTGACAAAAATTGCACCGTGCAAAGAGAGGCAAAATGCACTAAGCGCCGCAAACAAAAGTCTGCGGACTTTGTGGAAAGGCAAGTAATAAAATTAAAGCGCCATACCTCCAGCGTCTCCACAAATCCGAAAATTTTTACTTTAATTCCTCACGTTGTTTTCTGTTCGTCTAGAAATTTGTGATCTCCGTTTTGTATCATTATCCTTCACCGAGAAACCGGGTTTTAAACAGCTGCAATTTTGCAATTTTTTCGGAAAGAATTTGTTAGCAAACGCTAAATTATTATACTGGTTGACAAAATTTTCTTTCCACCTCGTATCTCGGGAACCGCTGGGCCTAGAACCTCAAAATTCGGCACAGAAACATCATGGGACAATCTAACGGCATACCCAAAAAATCATACCATTTGTTGCACTTTCAGTGCACTTTTTATGCAACCGGCAAAAAAAGAGATGACAAAATTTTCTTTCCACTATGGAAAAACGTTTGTAAATTAATAGCCAAAGGCATGAGTGTGGTATCGTTGTGATCGCAAAGAAGTCCTCTTTCTATCCGTGTCACAATTTTACAGGAGTTTTCGTTGTTTCGCCGTTGGGCGTCTGCTGATCGTTGCGTTGTCCGTTTATGGCCAAATTCGTGGACAGAGAAGCTCGCAGAAGGCCCAAGGAGATGAAACTGCCCTTAAAAAATCTGATATTTATGTCTGCAACATTGTTTACACCGGCAGTAAAATTAGATTCAATTTAAGTGTGTTGCATGGGAAAATGCGCACCTTTAGAGTGCGCGAAACCGGAAAATTGCTTGTGTATAGAATGGAAGCGTCAAAATGACATGCCTTTGCAGTACATATGGCGTATTTTAGGTATTATACGACCGTATGTGTTGAAGCCTACCGCCTTACCTTACCCCCTGCGGTCTATGTCGTCTTATGTAATACAGGTTGTTGCACTACATGACAGAGAGGCATCGCCATAACTTAACCTTGATATATTGGGAAATTTGACTGCCAGCCTATTTTAATACATTGACATTGACCCGCCTTTAACGTTTTTGCCACGACAAATAGCTTGCGCGGAAAGCTTAGGGTTGCAAATCTTGCACAGGGGCATGTGGAACCATTCTTCTGCTCATACCTAAGCGCGACATTAGAGACTAAAATCTTCACTATTTTTAAAGTCTGTAGTATCATAGAAAATATATCAGCAGGAAAAATTATTTGAATTATCTGCAGTGTTCCCATAATAACGTAATTTTCTGGCAACGAGAACCCTGTAAGTGCACATTTTCCCATGTAACACACTTAAATTGAATCTAATTTTACTGCCGGTGTAAACAATGTTGCAGACATAAATATCAGATTTTTTAAGGGCAGTTTCATCTCCTTGGGCCTTCTGCGAGCTTCTCTGTCCACGAATTTGGCCATAAACGGACAACGCAACGATCAGCAGACGCCCAACGGCGAAACAACGAAAACTCCTGTAAAATTGTGACACGGATAGAAAGAGGACTTCTTTGCGATCACAACGATACCACACTCATGCCTTTGGCTATTAATTTACAAACGTTTTTCCATAGTGGAAAGAAAATTTTGTCATCTCTTTTTTTGCCGGTTGCATAAAAAGTGCACTGAAAGTGCAACAAATGGTATGATTTTTTGGGTATGCCGTTAGATTGTCCCATGATGTTTCTGTGCCGAATTTTGAGGTTCTAGGCCCAGCGGTTCCCGAGATACGAGGTGGAAAGAAAATTTTGTCAACCAGTATAGCATGCAATAATTTAATGTTTACTTGGCCTTTGGTTGCGCACAAACTTGTAATCATCGGCAATTCTGAGAGAAGAGGAATTAAATTTGCAGAGTTTATAAATTTTTTGTCAGCATGTCATATAAAGTCAGCAAAAATACTCATATATACGGGCATTAATATTATTCGAGAAGTGGTCAAAGTGGGACACTCGGATTTGAAAAAAACTTGGCACAAATTTAGAGTCAACTTCTCTAAGAAATATATGAGAATTCTAGCTCGCGCTTTGCAGAAACGACTGAGATTTTTAGATCGAAACTTGGCAAAAATAAGGCATTTTTTTGCGAATTATTTCCGGCATAAAAAGTTTCATATCTATTCCTACTGTAGAGTATCATATTTCTGCAAAAAATCAATTTTTTCCGCCCGAAACTGGCAAAGATATGGCGAAAAAACCGTTTTTCTCTGACCGTCTCCGCATTTTGTGCACTCTCTCGCAAAGATCGTTGAATTTCTCGGCTCTCCCTGCAAAGCGGGAGCTATAATTTTCAGTGATTGATATGTGGCCTACAACTAACACGTGTGCAGAATTTGCAGAAAATCTGAGCGTTGCAAGATATCAAAAAAAAAGTTTTTTGCAGGCGCCTACCTTATTGTAGGTCCTGACTTAGTTTGTCCAATTTCACTCCCCCACAATGATCTCAAGTTTCCCTCATTACTCTGCGGGCTTTTATTGTGTTGAACAGCACTTAGTTCGTTTGATTTTACTATTGTTTTGCACGATTTTGCTATTAAACTTAGCAAAAAACAGAGACTTAGGGGAGTACAAACTTTGAATTAAGCCATCTCGCGGTTATAAATTCATTTCTACCACCTTTACCCCCCGTAAAGCCTCCAAACATGGATAAAGTTGCAGATTGGACAATGTGGATTCGAACGGTCCACTTCTACTTCGAGATCGTCCTGTTTTGCATGACCTGGATGGTGGGCAGTTTGGTCATCTACTTGTCCATGTTCCGGTGTCGTGATGTCCTCAAGGACTACCGCAACATGCTCACGTTCACGGCCGTTGTGGACATGGTGTTCGTGTTGAACTCGGTGTTTACCATGGAGGTGGGTGACCGGTTTCTTGCACTGTTTTGTCCACGAAAAGTATTTTGGTAGGGAAGAAATGGCAGACAGTCCGAAAAAGTGCAGGAAAGGTTCAAAAATTAGGGGCAAAGAGCTTGGTTAATAAACTTTGGCTTAGACTAGGTTAGATGAAAAAGTCTTGACATAAAAAAATTCACTGTGCAGTTTCTAGTGAGCTGGAAAAACGCACTGTGCAGTTCTCGGTGAGAGTGAAAAAACGCACTGTGCAGTTTCTGACGCGAACGAGAAACGGCGAAGAGGCAAAATCATAGTGCGCCCCGACCACGCACAGTGCGAAAACAATTCTCCTAAAATTTCGGTGAAACTGCACAGTGCGTTTTCCTCACAGCAGAAACTGCACAGTGCGTTTTTAAATCGTATTAGAAACTGCACAGTGCGTTTCCCCTTGCACCAGAAACTGCACAGTTCGTTTTTAAAAGAATTAAAAATTGCACAGTGCGCGTTTTTAGATTGCATTGGAAACTGCACAGTGAGTTTATAAAAGAATTAGAAATTGCACAGTGCGTTTTTATATCGCATTAAAAGCTGCACAGTGCGTTCTCTAATAGAATTAAAAACTGTACAGTGCATTTTTAGATCGCATTGGAAACTGCACAGTGCGTTTTTTACAAGAGTTAAAAGTTGCACTGTGCGTTTTTTATTCGTATTTGAAACTGCACAGTGCATTTTTAAATCGCATTAGGAACTGCACGGTGCGTTTTTCACTCGCAGCAGAAACTGCATAGTGCGTTTTTTAATAGAATGAGAACTGCACAGTGCATTTTTAAATCGCATTAGAAACTGCACAGTGCGTTTTTTTTTACCAGAGTTAAAAACTGGACTGTACGTTTTTTATCCGTATTTGAAACTGCACAGTGAGTTTTTCAAACGCGCCGGAAACTGCACAGTGCGTTTTTATAAGAATTACAAATGGCACAGTGCGTTTTTAGATCGAATTGGAAAATGCACTGTGCGTTTTTCACAAGGATTAAAAACTGCACTGTGCCTTTTAATATCGCATTAAAAGCTGCACAGTGCGTTTTTAAAAGAATTACAAATTGCACAGTGCGTTTCTAGATCGCATTGCAAACTGCACTGTGCGTTTTTCACAAGGATTAAAAACTGCACTGTGCGTTTTTTGTTCGTATTTGAAACTGCACAGTGAGTTTTTCACACGCGCCGGAAACTGCACAATACGCTTTTAGATCGCATTAGAGACTGCACAGTGCGTTTTTTACTAGAATTAAAAATTACGCAGTGCTTTTTTAAATCGCATTAGAAACTGCACAGTGCTTTTACACTTGCACCAGAAACTGCACAGTGCGTTTTTATAAGAATTACAAATGGCACAGTGCGTTTTTAGATCGAATTGGAAAATGCACTGTGCGTTTTTTACTAGAATTAAAAATTACACAGTGCGTTTTTAAATCGCATCAGAAAATGCACAGTGCGTTTTTCAATCACGCCAAAACCTGCACCGTGCTTTTTTCATCCTTGGGGGAAACGGCACAGTGCGGTTTTCATTGGCGCAGGAAACTGCACTGTGCTTTCTTAATCGCCCCTCGGACAGCACATTAAATTGGCGCATCTACGTGACACTTCACCAAAAAATTTTTCAGACCTTCTACGTCTACGAAGGCGTCCTGTACTACTACTCGGACAACCCACTCTATCCGAAGGGTCAGTTCGCGGCCTATTGGAGCGGCGCAATGTTCAGTTTCTTCGTTCTGTTCTCCATCATCATCACCGTGATCCAGTTCATGTACCGTTACGGGCTGCTCTGCCGTCCCGAGGCCTACACGAAGCTGCAGATCGGTGGGGCGTTCGCCTGCTTCACCGTGTACATTGTAATCCATCATTACTTCTTCTGGTGGACGTTCAATCCGCCGAACGCGGAGTACAATGATATCCTGCGCCGGCACGGCCAGTCCCTCGAGTGGTACATTGTGGCGGACTTGAGGAGCGTCAACTGGGTCTGGCTGCACTTCATGAGCTTCCAGATGGTGGTGTCCGTCTCGTATACGTTCAACATACTCTTCGGCGTGAAGATTATACAGTTTTTGAAGGCAAAGGCGTCGAGTATGTCGGAGAAGACGTTGCGAGCGCAGAAACAAATCACCTATGTGCTGTTTATTCAGGTGAGAAAGGAAATTTGAAACTTTATAACAGTAATGTCATTCTGTCGGGAAAATAATGAGCAGTCGCTACTCAAAAAAAAAACGTCGCTGAAGTGAAAAAAATTGATTTTGCCGCGACACAATTCATTTTCTCGGCGACAATGCGATTTTTGATGCTATAGAGTGCTCATTATTTTCCCGACAAACGGTTTTTTGCTCTTTTTCACTATGCAATCAACAAAATTCCTAAAAAATCAGCGACTTTTGAAACCTTTTTGAAGCCGCTGAATTTCGGGGTTGCGATTTTCATGTAAGCTGGAGATCGATTTTTTTATTGATGGTGCTACATATATCTTTCTCTCCAAAAATTAGCAAAAAATTACGAAAATGTGGCCATTTCCGACATCCAAAAAAACCAACCTTTTTGTAAGCTGCGGGCTAACATTTTTGCATAATTTTTCGCATATACAGTGAGGGACCTGATCCATTGGCAAAAAAGTATAATTTTGCATTCGGGAAGTATCAAAAATGTGGCATAATACCTCTCATTACAATAAAACAAAAAAAACTCCGTTTCGAAATGTGCCCTTTTCCTCACAAAAAAAAGTCAGCAAGCATTTTTTTTTCCAAAATCTAGAAAAAGTCGTATAATTCCGACTGTCGGGAAAATGATGCGCGCAGTGTCGCTGCGCCATTTGCGTTGCTGAAGTGAAAAACAACTTGATTTCTCGGCGACACAATTCATTTTCTTGGCGGCGATGCAATTTTGGATGCGATAGAGTGCTCATTATTTTCCCGCCAGACTGATAGCCTCTGCGAAAGACGGGAGGGAGACATTTTTGAGTGTTTATGTCGCGCCTCGGAGTCGCTCTTCATCGCTTTGCGACTGCAAGCCGCGGCTTGGGATTTGGTGCGCGATAGCGGCGATGCGAGACGATCCGCCGTTATTTTTCCGACAGACTGATAACAAGGGAAGCCCTCCAAGTGCTCAGATTTTCTTTAGATTTTGCGCATATATTGGGCATGAGCTAAATATCAATTCCTGAAGGTTTGAATTCGTGCTTTTCGGCCATAAATTTGGTAGTTTTGTGCGGAAAAAATTAATTTTATGTGGAAAATCTATGGTAGAGATAGGCATGAAACTTTTCGTGCCGAAATTCGGCAAAACGTCTCAAAATTTCGCTGACTTTCGATCTTAAAATCTCGGACGTTCCTGCAAAGCACGAGCTAGGATTTTTGCATATATTTAAAAAAAAATTATTCTAAACTTGTGCCAAGTTTCATCAAAGTCTGAGCGTCGCACTTGGAGTACTTCCCCTGTAAAGGAATGGTTTAGTAAAATCTCCATCAAACTTCACTGTTATATTGCCCAACCCGAAACAAGCAATTTTACTATGCACCTGCTAGTTTCATCAAAATCTGTAAACTAAATTTTGACCCTCTCTTTTGACACTACTTCACAAATTTCAAGCCCAATTTTCCAGGCGCTCTGCCCTCTCATGGACACCGTAATCCCGGCGTCATTCGTCTGTCTCAACGTGATCATCGCCCGAAATGCCGGCCTCGCCGAGACCGCCATTCTGGCCAGCATGGCCATGAACATCATCCCCTTCTGCAATTCGTTGGTGGTGATCTTGGTGATTCCCAAGTACCGGCAGCTCGTCTGGAAGATGCTCCGTCATCCGCTTACTCATGCGTCCGTCGACGCAACACACACCGGCTCCGTCGCCATTTCCGATTCGCAGGACAAACGAAGTACCAGCAAGGTTGGAGGGCGTTCGTCGATTATGGTGTCGGCGGGGGCTTCCGCCCACTAATAATAATAATCGGAAGGATAATGAATAAGAAGCAATTGCGGCGGAGGTTTGTCATCTCCGCCGCTTCACAGTGAATCTCATATATAATATTTTATACCTAATAACGATTTTTATGAACTTATTTTTTACATTGCGTAATAATTTTCTGATCTATAAAGCTTCTTGTAATCGAAATGAAGGTTTGACTTTTTTGCTGATAAAGCCTGGCAAATTTTAAAAAATTTGGATTAGACAAAAGTTGGATGCCTGACTGAATATGAGCTGTGGTGCTGTGAATATGAAATTTGGCAAACTTGGTCGAGTTCAAGTACTACCAGTACTCAATAAATAGTACCAAGTGCTACATATAAGTTTTTGGGCTCTACTAAGCCCCAAACCAACATTACCAACTTACGGCCAAATGTTCACCTCGTACTAAATAGTACCAGTTGGTACTGTACAGTACCAAGTGCTAAAGATGTGTTGTTGGGCTGTACCAAGCACCAAGCCAACACCATTAACGTCTAAAAGTGTTATAAGTCAAAAAAATTTCAAAAAGAGTTCTTATGTTGTTTTCTCTAACTGCACTCCGCGTTTCGCTTATTCTCTCGGCTAAAAGATCCTTGAACATCTCTACCGCTCTGAATGGTGTGCTAAGCTTTCCAGGAATTGATACAAGCGATCTACTCCCGAAATGTATGCAAAATTTAAAGGCAATCTGAGCGTCGCAGTTGGAGTACTTCTCCGGTTAGTCGGGGCGGTCCAATTTGCCACCACATTACCGCTGATTCCCCTAATCTCTCTCCTGGAGCCGACAGGTAATTGGTTTTTGACAAGACAATATAATCCGCTCTTTACTATCGCCCTCCACTCATTAATCCTCCCCACTCTTGAGGTACATTTGCGGTAACTTGGGTTTCATTCGAATCCCTCAGGAATCCTTGGCTAGTAACTCTACCATTTTTATTACGACCGGATTTCACAACGTGCATTCTGTTGCACTTTTTAATGAGGGCGGGAAATAGATAATGACAAGGCCATGGGTGTCGATAACGACAACACTTTCAGTGGACCTTGGCAAAAGGGAATCATTTTTTGAGAAGGGGGGAGGTAAGGAATGTGGAGTAATAGGGACAATTCGGGCCAATTTTTATAAGAACAACACAGAACATGTTACTATTAGCCTGTCGGGAAAGTAATGGGGATTAGCAGCGACTTGAAGTCGACCAGATCGCCTTACGACGGCTAGTCGCGGCGGCAAATTTGGTGCGTACCAGAGATTGCCACGGTCAAAATTTCGGCTCCGGCTCCGGCTCTTAGCTCCCAGAGCCGGAGCCGAGGCCAAATTTGCAGCTCCGGCTCCGGCTCTTGGCTCCGTGCAAAATTTAAAAAGGCCTCCGGCTCCGAATCCCGGCTCCTATGCAAAATGTTTTTAAAAAATATTTTTCCAAAAATAAAAGTTATTAGTGCCAGAGATCATACAGCCAACGTTTTTGCAGTCAAGTCACATCCTCCGCAGTGTTTTTCAAGCAATTTGGTTTAACAAGATCACGAAATTTTTACTTTTCTGACCGCTGGGAGGTTTGGCTCCGACTTTGTGCTCGGGAGCCGGAGCCGACCCCAAAATTTCCGGCTCCGGCTCTGGCTCCCGGCTCGGAGCCGGAGCCGCTTAGAGCCAAAGCCAAGTGCCGGCTCCGGAGCCGTGGCAATCTCTGGTGCGTACAGAGCCGTGATGTTTTTCTAGTCCTTATTAGATTTCCTCCAGGACAGACGCTTTTACAAAAAGTGCGTGGACTTTCTGGCGTCGAACAGTTTGCCTTTTTTTCGCACGGTGAGGGCTTTTCGAACATTTTTCATAGCGAGTTTTCACTCATCGCGCGAAATGTCTTCTGAAACGTCGCAACGAGCGAATCAATTGGAATTGCCTTTTGTCGCGCGTTTTTTCGGTTTCTCTCTCAATTTCCTCCCCCCAAGCCACTTTTTTCAATCTTGCAATGTGCGAAAAGCAGCAAAATACAGTGTCCGTTTGCGATAAAAGACGGAGAAAAGTGTGTGCACTTTACGAAAATTGCCTTCAGTCTGTCTGGAAAATAATGAGCACATGGTAGCCGTCGTGTCGCAGAAGTCAAAAAAAAAGATTCATTTCCTCAGCAGCGATGGGATTTTCGACGCTACATTATTTTCCCGACAGACTTTTTTTGTGCGCATTATTTTCCCGACAGACTTTTTTTTGTGCGCATTATTTTCCCGACAGACTTTTTTTTGTGCGCATTATTTTCCCGACAGACTTTTTTTTGTGCGCATTATTTTCCCGACACACTTTTTTCGAAGCGCGACGCAATTATCGCACAAAAATTACAATGTGTTGCAGAAAATTTCCCGGGTGTTTCGCCCCGAGCGGTATCAGTCTGTCGGGAAAATAATGAGACAGTGTAGCTGCGGCTAAAGTCAAAAAAAAAAAACAAAAAAAATAAAGCAATTTGATTTTACCCCGATAAAATTCATTTCCTCTGCGGCGATGTGATTTTGGAAGCGACAGAGTGCTCATTATTTTCCCGACAGACAGATATTATATAGGAGTTTCACAAAGTGCCTGAACATTTGTCGCAGTCCGCACCGTGCACCAAAAATTCGCGAGTTCTTGCACTGTGCATTCAATTTTTTTTTGGTTTTGCACTGTGCATTTGAAATATCGCTGCGACGAAAGCTTTTCTCAACTGCGGTTTTGCTCACAAGGAAAGTACTTTTATGGGGGCTCCTAATTTTTGACGGGACATATTTCCAAGAATCAGAAAAAATGTGCTGATCAAGGATATATAAATCTTAGCTGCCCATTTTAGGTTTTTAGGGGTGAAAATGCCCAAAAACTGGCTTAATTTCCCTACAAAAGGCGCAGGCATTCGAAACAATAAAAAGCGCAGTCGGTCTCTTCCTTCGGAAGAGAGCGATGTGGCCGAGTGGTTAGTGCCGTAGTCTGGGAATCAAGAGAGGGAACGCCGCACGGGTTCGATTTCCCTTTTGGGCTGAATCAACTTTTTTTGAAGTTGTAGGTCAGAAAAATAAATTTTTGTGCCAAGACTGATTTATTACGTCTTAGAAACTCAATAAACATCATTTTGAGCCAAAATAAAAACTGTAAGCCTGTGAAAAATTAAGCGAAAAGGGGTTCACATAGGACCTTAAGTCAACTTCCGATTGAGTTTTCAACCCTAAAAACCTAAAATGGGCAGCTAAGATTTATATATCCTTGATCAGCACATTTTTTCTGATTTTTTGAGACATGTCCCGTCAAAAAGTAGGAGCCCCCATAAAAGTACTTTCCTTGTCAAAAATGCGCACAGTGCAATCGGCTTTTTTGAGGTTTGCACGGTGCGTTGGCGACAAAAGTTCAAAGTTCAAGCTGCACTGTGCAAAAGCGAAAAAAATGTCCAGGAACTTTGTGAAAATGCTAATAGTATAATATTTTACCTTATCATGTATACGTTTTTCTTTATTGTATCTCGTGCATGCATTTCTCTCATCTTTCTCCTAATTTCTGATTACCCATGACCAATAATCCGACTAAAAAATTATCGGATTACTGGTTTTCAATTCAAATTTACTGCTGGCTCTCATATACGAAATCTCTCGAGATTACTCTGCCTATACATCTCATAGTGGGGTTATAATAAATTCTGAAAAATTGTAAGACGGTGGTAAAAAATAACCTAATATTCTGACCACTTTTTAAACCTGAAATCGCTGGTAATTTGCGTCAAGTTTTACCTCAAAAACAACCAGGGTATCCATAGGGTTATGACGCAAATTTACTTGTTCTTTCCGCCAAAATTGCTCGAGGCACGCCATCCTCCATTCCCCCCTGTTTTGGCCTTTTCCCCTCGGCCTAGACTTTCACACACAAAAGCGGTTGTTCGTTTCGGTTATCGAGGTAATTTGGTTTGGATTACTGGCTCGAAATGCCAAGAGTAAGGTGCTTTACTCTCCCAATAACTCGATTTGCGGATTTCAGCCGGCTGTTCGGGTGATTTCATATGTTTCTGTGTTTTTCAGTTGGTCTTGACTTTGTTAGTGCAAAAACGGTGTTATTCCGAGGAATTCCTATGAGTGTTTAGAGAGTAAGACAAGCGAAAAGGTTGGTAAAGTAGCCCATGTGAGTGAAAATGATTTGGCACCGGTTTTCATTTAGCTATGCGCAAGGTTGATGGGGACAGCCGGTTATTTCAAAGGGCATCAGGTAAAAATATCTAGGTCGCATCGAGGCAATCCACCGTCAACCTGCGCTGTCGTTAAGTTGAAAAGTCGCACGGCAAATCAGAGGTCTCGCGCATTATTTCGACACTTCGCTTACCCAGTATCGGTTGAACTCAAGCGAATGCGCGGCTTTGAAAAACAGCCGATTTTTTTGGGCATTTTGTTGGTTACACATAGCCAGGTATAATACAAATGCAGGGGTGGGCTACCCGGCCCGTTTGGGCCCGTTTTATTTGGAAAAAAAACAATCCGCGTTTTTTCGGACAATGAGTAACCGGATGGCTTTGAACCTTCGGCTAGCCCTAAGTTTAGAGGGATGCTGACCTTTCAAAATTTTATATCAGATTTTTGATATCTTTTCTCCACAATGAGATATTGCAATTTGCGGGGAAAGAGGCCGAAACGGGTCGGGCGGCCACCCCTGCAGAAAAGTAAAGTCGACTGCGCCGCGTCCCGACTTTTCGGGTCAGGGAGAGCTCGGGTCGTTAGAATTAGGGTCAACGGTTCCGTTTTAGGGCGCAGCGACAGAGTGTTCATTATTTTCCCGACAGAATGATAGTTTTTAATAATTTCGCTTTCCATTCCGGACCTTACACATTGTTAGAGTATTTCCTCCGTTTACTCAAAATTCTGTTCAAACAAGACCTTTTTGCACGCGATCCCCGAAAAAACGAAATGCCATGCAGCCAGAAAAAGAATTTGTCATTTAGCTGACGTCGCTCATTAAACGGGTTTACCCACCCGGGCTCTGGGAATGTGCTGTGAAGATTTGTGGGAATGTACGTATGAACTGCTGGAAAGCGGGTCCTCCTCGGATTGGAATTGGGTTTTTTCTGCATTTCACGGGTGCAATTTGTCGCTTTTTTGCGCCATTCAATAGGCATTTTGGGCTATCGCTAATAAATTTCTAACAAAGGAAGTACTCCAAGTGCGACGCTCAGATTTTCTTTAAATTTTGCACACCCGTCGGGTATGGACTAAATATCAATTCCTGAACGTTTTAGCTCCCGCTTGCCGCCGAGATATCGAACGATTTTTGCCGCCGAGAGAGTACGCTAAACGTGGAGAGCGGTCAGAGAGAAAAACGCTTTTTGGCCATAACTTTGGCAGTTTCGTGCGGAAAAATTTGATTAAGTCCTAGATTTTCGCCGACTTTCGATCTAAAAATCTCGGTTGTTTCTGCAAAGCGCGAGGTAGGATTCTCGCATATATCTTAGAAAAAATTGTTCTAAATTTGTGCCAAGTTTCATCAAAATCTGAGCGTCGCACTTGGAGTATTTCCCCTGTAAATATTATATTTTACAAAATTTCTTGTTGATACAGGTAAAACAAAAATGATGACTAATGGGTAAGTCCTCAAAATGCGACGCTAGGCTTTGTATGAAATGTGGAAAGACTTAGCAATGTTCTTAAAAATACATAGGCGAGGCTGCGAGCTCGCGTTTTGCAGAGACGACTGAGATTTTGAAATCGAAAGATGGCATAAAGCCGGCATTTTTCGTCAAACTTTTTCATGAAAATTCCATAGCTATTCCTACAGTAGAGTGTGCTTTTTAAACAAAAAATCAAATGGCAAAAAAATGGCCAGAAAAACGTTTCTCTCTGACCGATCTCCGCTTTTCGTGTGCTCTCTCGGCCGCAAAAAAACCGATGACTTTTTCGGCTGTCGCTGCAAAGCGCGAGCTAAAATTTTCGGCAATTTGTCTGAGCCTAAAATACGTTCAAAATGTCATAAAAATCTTAGCGTCACACCTGCGATATTCACGATATTCACCTTGTTTTCCCCCCTTCATACAGCCATGTCTCATTACCAAATTTGTCCGTTAATTATTTGGCTTTTTGGCCTCGTTTCCTGTCACCGAAAACAACTTTTTTTCATATTTTTTGAGTCTTTGCATTACTCTGCTGTTTGGAAAATAACTGTTTCATGGAATTGCCTGAGGCAATAAACCCAAAAATTGATGGATTTTACGGCCTATGGCGTTGAAAATAGCAAAAAAATGAAAAATTTATTTCGAAAAAACGGTGTTATTTTTGCGGGTGTGATTTCCATTTTTCGTAGCGAAAAATCATCATTTTATAGTGCAAAAAGCCGCAACAAAAACTTTTTTTTTCTCAGAACTGTCTCGAAAATTATAACCTAAAGAAATAATCATCATACCGATTACATTCTCATCCATTTTATCTTGTTTTTTACCTCAAATCTTCCTCTAATCCCGCTTTTCAGCTGTTTTTTCTACTATTTTTTTATTTTCCGCGCAAATTCCCGTGTTTTTCCGCGAAATTTCGACGCTCTCACGTTTTTCAGGTGTTTTTAATTTCAGCCGTTAATTGAGTTACAAAGCAGTGGCAGTCGGAGTGCGGCGGGCAGACTCGGAATGGGGCTGGTTTGTTCGAAGGGCGCCAAAAAGCCGGGCCAAATCTCGCCCGTCAACACCGACGCCAACGACAATGTGGGGCCGGATAAACAGCCGGTATGTGCGGGAAATCTGCGTGCTGAATTTTCAACTGCACTTTTTCGAAAGTGCGTAGATTTTTTGCCGCAGCGCACTGTGCGTTTTGACACTTGTTCGCACGGTGCGGGCTTTTCGAACACTGCACAGTGCGTTTTGTCGCTTTTTGCACTGTGCAGGCCTTTTTCAATTTATTTTGCACAGTGCATTTTGCCGCTTTTTGCACCGTGCAAACCTCTTTCAATTTATTTTGCACGGTGCAGTTTGTCGCTTGTTGCACTGTGCAAACCTCTTTCAATTAATTTTGCACAGTGCAGTTTGTCGCTTTTTGCACCGTGCAGGCCTTTTTCAATTCATTTTGCACAGTGCAGTTTGTCGCTTGTTGCACCGTGCATGCCTTTTTCGATTTATTTTGCACGGTGCAGTTTGTCGCTTGTTGCACTGTGCAAACCTCTTTCAATTAATTTTGCACAGTGCAGTTTGTCGCTTTTTGCACCGTGCAAACCTTTTTAAATTTATTTTGCACGGTGCATTTTGTCGCTTTTTGCACTGTGCAAACCTTTTCCAAGTTATTTTGCACAGTACAGTTCGTCGCTTTTTGCACCGTGCAAACCTTTTTAAATTTATTTTGCACTGTGCATTTTGTCGCTTGTTGCACTGTGCAGGCCTTTTTCAATTTATTTTGCACTCTGCATTTTTTCTTCTTGGATTTTAAATCTTTCGCACCGTGCAAATCAGTATCAAAAAACTTTGCACGGTGCATTTTGCCGTTTCTGCACCGCAAAACTTTTTCGATTTACTATATCTTGCACAGTGCATTTTGTCGCTTTCTACACCGTGCAAAACGATCTCAAGTAATTTTGCACTGTGCGTTTTGGCACTTTTTCGCACGGTGCGGGCTTTTCGAACATTGCACAGTGCAGTTAGTCGCTTGTTGCACTGTGCAAGCCTTTTTCAATTTATTTTGCACGGTGCATTTTGCCTTTTCTGCACCGCAAAACTTTTTCGATTTATTTTGCACTGTGCATTTTGTTTTCTTTCGCACGGTGCGGGATTTTCAAAGATTTCACTTTTTGCAATGTGCAAACCAATTTCAACTCATTTTGCACAGTGCGTTTTGCCTTTTCTGCACCGTGCAAACCCATTTCAGTTCACTTGCACAGTGCGTTTTGTCGCTTTATGCACAGTGCATTTTGTCGCTTTTCGCACCGTGCAAAGCGATTTCAAGTAATTTTGCACAGTGCATTTTGTTTTCTTTCGCACGGTGTGGGCTTTTCGAACATTTCACTTTTTGCAATGTGCAAACCAATTTCAACTCATTTTGCACAGTGCATTTTGCCTTTTCCGCACCGTGCAGACCGTTTTTTAAGTCAATTTGCACAGTGCGTTTTGCTTCTTTTGCACCGTGAAAACTTTTTTCGAACATTCTGCACGGTGCATTTTGATGCTTTTTTGCACCGTGCCAAACGATTTCAAGAAATTTTACACAGTGCATTTTACTATTTCTTTTGCACCGTGCAGATCCTTTCTAATAATAATTCTGCACAGTGCATTTTGTCGCTTTTTGCACCGTGTATTTTAAACCTTTTGCACCGTGCAAATCAATATCAAGGAATTTTGCACAGTGCATTTTGTTTTTTTGCACGGTGCGGACTTTTCGAACATTTCACTTTTTGCACCGTGCAAACCCTTTACAAATCAATTTGCACCGTGCATTTTGCCTTTTCTGCACTATGCAAACCTTTTTCGAACTTTTTGGACTGTGCATTTTATCTTTTTTTTTTGCACCGTGCAGACCCTTTTCAAGTACTGTGCATTTTCACTCACCAATCGCTTCAGAAAAGTCGCAGCGACATGGAAAACGGGTTTTGTCGCGCAATATTTTGGTCTTGCACAGTGCAAAACGGCTCTTTCTTGCACAGTGCAACCCGCTTTTTCAAGTTTGCACTGTGCAAAAAAGAGCAAAATGCACGGTGCGGTAGAGAAAAAATGATGCACTGTGCGTCGTGGCACAAAGTCTACGCAATTTGAAAAAGCGAAGTAATCAGAAAGAAGCTCGAAAAAAGACCTTTTTTCAACTCACCACTTTCTCAATTTCAGCTAAAAGACCCCGAAAATGGTCAGCAAAACGATGAGGACAAGGAGAATCAGGAGCGGCCCGCGTCTCGGAGCAAAAGCCCGGCTCCGCAGAATGAGATCCGGAATGCGGCTGGGGGAGGAAATACAAATCAAGAAGCAGACGGTGGAGGGAATGCGGTGGCCGCAAAAGCCATCAAAATTGGATTTTTAGGTGACATATTCTGCTATTAGCATCTTCATAAAGTGCATGGACATTTGTGGAGGCCTGCATGGCGCAAGAATGGCGATTTTTTGCACCGTGCATTCACTTTTTTTGGTTACGCGCGTTGGCGACAAGCGTGGGAAAGAATTCAAGATGCACTGTGCAAAAGGGAAAGAATGTCCATGGACTTTATGAAAATCCGTTCGCAAAGTCGCTGAAGTGCTTGCAACATGCACTGTGCGAAAACAAAAAGTTCCCTTTGCAATGTGCAATTTTTTGATTTTTGCACCGTGCAATAAGTTTTTTGGACTGTCGCTCGCACCCTGACCTTTTCTGCACAGTGCAAACTTCCGAAATGATTTCGGCGACACGCACTGCGCGACCACCCAAAAATTCCCTTTGCACTGTGCATTTTTACGCTTTTCGCATGCTTTTTTGCACCGTGCAATAAGCTTTTTTTGGGCTGTCGCTCGCATCCTCACTTTTTTTTGCACAGTGCAAGCTTCGAAAATGATTTCGGCGACATGCACTGTGCGAAAACAAAATCTCCTTTTGCACTGTGCAATTTTTTTGGTTTCTGCACAGTGCAATAGGCGTGTTTGGGCTGCCGCTCGCACCCTGGCTTTTCTTGCACAGTGCAAAGGATAAAAATCACTCCAGCGACCTTCCGAACGGATGAAAACCTTTTTTATTTTTTTTTGCTTTCAGGCACCTGCGAGTCCGGAAAAAGTACAATTTGTCAGCAAGCAAGGTGAGGATTGGTTCAAAATACGAATTAAATAGCAAATCGGAAATTTTTTAGTAATTTTTAGTATTTCAAATCATCGCTGCGAGGTCTATCAGGCTGTTGGGAAAGTAATGAGCACTCTGTCGCATAAAAAATACTAAAAAATGAATTGTGTCGAAGAAATCAAACAGCGTTTCAGTTCATCGGCGCAGTGACATTGTGCTCATTATTTTCCCGACAGACTGATAAATTCAGCTTTCATGACCCGGAAAATCCTATTTTCAGGCTTTAGCAAAAGAAAAATCATCTTTAAAATACATCTTGAAGAAAAAAGAGGTCTTCTGAAAATCGAAAATTTTCGTTGCGGGACCTAACTTCTCTCTTTTTCACACAAAAAAAAATCTTTTTTCAGGCTTCTGGTAAAAGAAACACCGCATGAAATGGAGCTGCGACATCGGCCCGCCTACATTCGCGACCTCTTGTTCACAGCGATGCGATTGCTGCTTGTGCACACTCGAAAAATTGGCTATACAATTCCGGTGGAGTCGCAGGTGAGAGCTCGGGCTTTTTGCTGACAATTTTTCGACGTTTAGAAGTACGTGGACTTGATTGAGAACAACGAGGACAGCCCCGGATTTCTGATCCGAAAAGAGGAAAAGGAGGCGTTCGAAAAGCTGTGGCAAGAGGAGGTCATCCAAAATGCTTACATCAGAAGAGCTGAAGTCAACATGAACGACTCCGTTAAATAGCAAGTTTATTTTTTACAGTGCCGGAAGAGGAGAGGGTCGCCGGACTGATTTTTGACGTCTGCACTGTGCAAAAAGGTCAGAGTGCGAGCGACAGGCGAAAAAAGTTTATTGCACGGTGCGAAAAGCAAAAAATTGCACAGTGCAAAATGAACCTTCCATTTCGCACAGGGCATGTCGCCGAACGAAGATTTGGTGTCTGCACTGTGCAAAAAAAGTCAAGGAGTCCAAAAAGCTTGTTGCACGGTGCGAAAAGCAAAAAATTGCACAGTGAAAAATGAACTTTTCATTTCGCACAGTGCATGTCGCCGGACTGATTTTTGACGTCTGCACTGTGCAAAAAAAAGTCTGAGTGCGAGCGACAGCCCAAAAAAGCATTTGCACGGTGCACAGGGAACTTTTCATTTTGCACAGTGCATGTCGCCGGAGACTCATTTTTGAGGTGAGCACAGTGCAAAAAAGATCAAGGAGTTCAAAAAGCCTATTGCACGGTGCAAAAAGCTACAAATTGCACAGTGCAAACGAAACTTTTCGCTTCGCACAGTGCACGTCGCAAGAATCACTCCACGGTCTTTGCAAACATGTATGTAAAAGGGAACGCTCAGATCTTCTTCAAATTTTTCACACATGAGTGTCATAGATTCCTTATTTATTCCTGAAATTTTGGCACACGCTTTTCAGAGCAGCCCATGGCAAAAAGACTACGCGAAAGCGCGAAGAGCAGAAGGAAAACGCTTTTTCGTTGAACGTATTTTTTTAATCAAAAATTTCATCAGAATTGGGCTTCTCCAGTGAGATACCGGGGTTTATAACATTGCTGGTGATTATCATGATACTTTCTTTCAGCTTCTTCGACAACATCCACCGGTTTTCGAGCTTGAACTTTGTCCCCACCCAAGAAGACCTCATCATGTTGTACGTTCCAACAGTTGGCGTGAATCAAACCAATTTGGAATACAATAATCAAGATTTTTTGTAAGGGCTTAATTGACTTCAGCAATTTCTACACCCTTTCTGATCGCCTCAAACTCATTATTAACGCCCCTGTGTTGGGTACCCGGACAACCTGTAGTCAAAGTAGTACAGGTTGGCAATCCCGCGCATCCGCCTCGTGTTCGGGCTAATCATTTCCTTCATCTCTTTCCGGCAGATGATACTAATAAATACTAGTCGCGCCATAAAGTCCCGACACTTTTGCAGTGTGCGTTTTCTTGGACCGCGACTTCGATTTTCATGACGAAAAAGATCGATGAATCTCAAATTTTTGGAGTTTTATCAGTCTGTCGGGAAAATAATGAGCACAGTGTCGTTGTGCCGGTCCTGTCGCTGAATTGAAAAGCAATTTGATTTTTCCGCGACACAATTAATTTTCTCGCCGGCGATGCGATTTTCGCTGCGACAGAGGGCTCATTATTTTCCCGACAAACTGATATACATGTCAAATTCTTAGCCAGGGCATTACATAAGCCTTTGAATTTCAGAATATACGACTTCTCCGGTCGACTGATGGAGCGCAAACGATGGCTCTCCCTATATGACACCTTTGACGCGCTCTTCTACTCCATTGCCATATCAGAGTTTGATCAGCGCTTCGAGGACAGTCAGGGGAAACATTCCAAGCTGGTCCATGCGTTGGACCTTTTTGAGCAGGTCTGCAATGAGGACAAGGTGAAGAACGTCCCGATCCATGTGTTTTTGAATGAAATCGACATTTTCGGAGAGAAGTTGGAACGACTGGAGTTGAAGGCCTATTTCACGGACTATAATGGTAAGAAGGGTTGGTAGAAAGACAAAAATATCAATGAGTTTTGTGGTAAATACGTGGAGGAAGGTTGAGCCTTTTCAAAGCAAAAGAAAAATGTTTCTGCAAAGCGCGAACAACGGATCTTTTATACTACATCTTGAAAGTTGAAAAAACGTGACATGTTATACGAGGAAATTTTTTTCAAATTGAAAAAACGAGGTGTGACATGTTATACGATGAAATTTTTTTCAAATTGAAAAAATGAGGCGTGACATGTTATACGATGAAATTTTTTTCAAATTGAGAAATATTTGTGACATGTTATACGATGGAGATTTTTTTCAAATTGAAAAAATGAGGTGTGACATGTTATACGATGAATTTTCTTTTTCAAATTGAGAAAAATTATGTGTGTCATCTTATACGATGGAAATTTTTTTCAAATTGAAAAAATGAGGCGTGACATGTTATACGATGAAATTTTTTTCAAATTGAAAAAATGAGGTGTAACATGTTATACAATGGAAATTTTTTTCAAATTGAAAAAATGAGGTGTGACATGTTACACGATGAAAGTTTTTTTCAAATTGAGAAATATTTGTGACATGTTATCCGATGAAATTTTTTTTCAAATTGCAAAAATGAGGTGTGACATGTTATACGATGAAAATTTTTTTCAAATTCGAATTGATTCGAAATCTTTTTTCATTTTTCTTCCATCGAAAACTCGGTCGCATCGAAAATTGCATCGCCGCCGGGAAAATGACTTGTGTCGCGGAAAAATTAAATTGCTTTTCACTTCAGCGACACGATCGGCTCAGTACTCATTATTTTCCCGACAGACTTAGAGCACTTGAAAAGATAAAACTCAGTCTGTCGGGAAAATATTGCGGATTTGACGCGGCAAAAATGTCTTGTCGTAGTCGTCTAAAATGCCTTTTCGAAAGTAAAAAATTGACATAAATGTCATAGTATATCTCAAATTGGATCTTTTTCCGTTCATTTTCTTTATACACGCAACGATTTACAGTCTCATTTGTGAAAAAAAAACACTCCGCCGAATTCAAGGCGGATTACGGAAGTCTCCGCCGATGAAAAAAAAATCCATCCTAAAACTCCTAGGGTTGGCTGTAAAATGCAAAAAAACATGAATACTTTTTTTACAGCATTCTCGGAACAGCCTGTATATTGTACATCAATTTATTGCTCTTTTAGGTTCCACCGAAAAAGAAGCGGTCCAATTCTTTGTCGACTATTGCCTTGAGAAGTCGAAAAATCGTCCCGGCAAGGTTTTTGTCTACCCCACCATCGCAATAAACACAAAGAAGACGCAGAAGGTGCTCACGGATATCTTCAAGAAGCTGTAGACAATTCGCAGGGAAATTTCTCCAAGTGCGACCCTCAGATTTTGATGAAACTTGGCACAAATTTAGACTTATTTTTTGTAAGAACTTTGTGAGTTTTTTAGCTCGCGCTTTGCAGAAACAACCGAGATTTTTAGCCCGAAAGTTGGGAAAAATATGAAATTTTTTTTTTCAATTTTTGACGTGAAAAATGTTGTGCTTATTTCTACTGTACAGAGTAATGTTTCCACAAAAAATCAATTTTTTCCGCGCGAAATTGGCAAAGATATAGCGAAAAGACGATTTTTCTCTGACCGTCTCCGCATTTTGCACACTCTCTCGCAAAAATCGTTAAATATCTCGGCTCTCCCTGCAAATCGCGGGCTAAAATTTTCAGCAATTGACACATGACCTATAGTCAACATATGTGCAAAATTTCAAGCAAATCCGTATGTCGCACTCGGAGATTTCCCCAGGTCTTTCGCTCTTTTGTTAATGTCGTATTTTAGGTTGGGTATTCATTGGGACGCTTTTTCCTTCATTTTTTACTTCCTTTTCCATCTTGTTGTATGTTTTCTGATGCAATCCACACATGCAATCATATTAATTCGAGCAATAAACATATTTTTATGACCAATATTTCACTTGATGACCGGGAAAATAAAAATCTCAAAAAATGTTTATTTTTCGTTACAGTAAAATTAGGGATATGCATTGTCGAGGCGGCTGGTTTAAAGAGCCAGAAGACGCTCATGTGATTCTTGTCAAGAGCCCCCGATTTTCGCGAGTTTTTGCAATTTTTTCGCGCTCAGTTCTGAGTCCAAACAATCTCCGGAATTTCGTGGATTTTCGACCACTTCAGAAATGTGTTTTCAATAAAAAAACGCAACGGGATTTTTTTGCTAATTCGGATTAGTGGAATTTCAAAATTTTTGTGGGGAAAAAATTGAGGAAAAAATCCGCGTTTTTTAAATTTTTCATGTGTGTCTATCAGAAAATAGTGAGCATTCTGTCGCTTTGGGCCGCTGAAACAAAAAGAAATTTCATTTTTTCTCTGTTTTTTTTGCGATTTTCGATGCGACAGAGTGCTTATTATTTTCCCGACAGAGTGATATATCATGAAATTTCATCAACTTTTTAATCTTATTACCCAGTCAGTCTACAATTCAATTTCCGGGGCGAATGCGCTAACCGAAACTTGGCTTAAAATGATGTCTTGGGCGCAGCTCGAAAAAAAGCTAAAAATTGGCTCCGGCAAGTTGCGGAAGCCTTTTTTCTTGCAATTTTTTTTGCGTTTTACCATTTTCAGCCACGTTTCAGTTAGCGCGTGTCGGTCATGAACCAAATATAAATTCCTGAAAGTTTTAGCTCGTGCTTTGCAGCCATAACCGATATTTTTTGCAGTCTTTAGGATGGAATTTCGTGGATTTTCGGGCTTCGTGTACTTGGCTGCAAAGACCATTGAATTCCATGAGAAATTTCTTTTTGGGCGTATTTGTCTACCGGGAAAATAATGTGGACTTGTCAAAACAAAATGCCTCTCAAATCGCCCACCAAATCCCCAGCCGCGGCTAGCCATCGCAAAGCGTGGATGGAAGATCCGAATGCGCGACAAGTCCACATTATTTTCCCGACAGGCTAGTATACAAACAATGCGGCGTTAAACTACCACCCCAATCTTTTCCGGTCGCCTTATGAAATCCGACCCACCCGATTCTCCCATCGCCTTCGCTTTCAACAACCCTCTGACTAATACATACTCTCCTTATGACAATCAATTGTATTTGATTTGGACTTGGATTTCATCCCCATCCCACCCCGACCCTCTTCCAACCTGATCCCTGTTCGACTGGCGACAAAAAAAAAAGCGACGTGGAACGGGCGGGGAGGGGTTGTTTGCGTATACCCACGCGCGACCTCCTGACTCCGGCTTGAGCTCGAAAGCCTAGAGGCCAAAAAAATTTTTCGGATTTCTCGAGTTCAACAAGTTCCTTGACATCTGGAAGAGGTTTTGTAAAAAAGTTTGCGTTCCTGGACTTGATCTAGATTTTTTGGGATGAAAATGCGGACAAGTCTTGAGTTCGAGGCTGAATTTAAGATTCTTTAGGGAAAATAGAGTTAAAGGGGCATCTTTAAAAAATGACGTCATCTTTGAGCAATGTGATCCGAAACGGGCACATAGGCATTTAAGAATGATTTTAAGAATAATTTTTTTGTTGTCAAAATAGAGATACGGGAAGGGGGACCAAGGAGAACTTTTTAAGAATATTTTTTAGGTCCAAGAATATGATATTGTAAAGGCGGGCAAGGCGGTTATTTTAAGGCTCTCTCGGACCTTTTTTGGCTCCAAGAAAATGATATGGCAAGGTTTGTTGGGTTGGCCTGCTTTGAATTTCGGGATTCCAAAAAAAATTTTGATGATTTTTCCCTTTTACCATAGCATTCTTTTAAAAACACAAAAAAATTAGTCTTAAAAAATCAGCCACGGCCCCCTTACCATTACATTTTCTTCACAAAACAAAAAAAAATATTCCTGAAAAATCAGCCTTGGCTCCCTTTTTCCATATTATTTCCTTTGCGAACCATGAAGAATATTATTTAAAAATCAGCCTTGGTCCCCTTAACCATAATATTTTTTCCTTAAGGTGCCCCATCGCCCAGGTGCCCTCTTCGGATCCAACCATCCAGAACGCTCTCATATTTCGTTACCAAACTTTGTTTTCCGCCCGTTTCCTCTAAATCTCTCCGTATTTCAGATCATGAACGGCTACCCGACCCACTCGTTCTCACAGCTGACTGTAGACCCCGCAAAGTTCGTCTACCACCCCACCCCGCAACGGTCCCCGTTGACTAAGCAAGTGGATCAACTTGAATATTATATTCCCCAAAATAAATACGCCAAGAACCCGTGGAGTTATGCGCCCGAGTTCCTGAAGGTCTTCACGGATGTCAGAGTGCCGGAGGGCGGAAAGGCGGTGTTCGATTGTGTTCTTCTTGGATCTCCGAGGCCCAGGGTAAGGAGAGTTTTCACTGTAGCGGGAAGGGAATTTATCGTAGTTGTTTATCATGGATTTTATGGAAATTTGGAGCTGTTTTTTTATATCGGACAAGTAAAAATCATTGAAAATTTTAAGCTGCGTTTTGCGGGCGCCGCCGAAAAAATAAACTTGGACCTATTACACGAAGAAATGGGACAGTTTCCATGCCAAAATTCACTGGCAAAATTGACAAAGGCCCCAAATTTTTCGCCAAGAAAATCACCTTCTAAATCGCCGCCAATTTTTGCGTGGAAAGAAATTCCGAAAACGCTCGGATTCCAGTAGAAAATTTGAGGAGGGTTTTCATTCCAAAACTTGCAGAAAAGTATTGAATTTGTCTTTTGCAGGGACAGCCGAGATTTTGAACAACCTCAAAATTTCGCGTGAAAAAAATTGTTTTTTTACGGTATATATACCGCGGTAGAAAATAGGCATGAAATTTTTCATGACAAAACTTGCAAAAATGTGTCACATTTCATTTCTTCCAGCTTTTGACCTAAAAAATATCGGTCGTTTCTGCAACGCGCGAGCTTGTAAGCTCGCCGAAAATTGATCCTAAATTTGTGTCCTTTCTATCAAAATTTGAGCGTCGCAGTTCAACCACTTCCCTTGTTATTCACACTTCAATATAAACCTCTCTTCTCCAGGTCTGTTGGCTCTTCAACGACGAGAAACTCACCATGGAAGACGTCATTGTTGAGGACACTGCCGACTTGTGCCGAATAACCATTCCATACGTCCAGTCCTATCATTACGGAACGTATACGGTGCTCTGTGAGAACGAGGTGGGCAGAGCCATCACGAGCGCTTCACTACTCCCATTTTATGCTGATTACTAACTAAAATTAGTCATTGTAAATTCTTGGTTTTTCGCGATGAGTTTTTGCTAATAAATATGAGCACAACTTGTGTCAAAAAGAAGAGTTTGAACATGTCTTTGCACTGTGCGGTTGGGATCGCAAGGTGGCTTTGCGCGATGAACAATCGGCACGGTGCGAATGAAGAACGCACTGTGAAGTTTCGGGAGCGATTGGAAAGCGCACTGTACGGTTTCCGAAGCGATGGAAAAACGCACTGTGCGGTTTCGGAAGCACTTCAAAAACGCACTGTGCAGTTCTCGTTACTAGTCAGATGCGCACTGTGCAATTTCTGGACCGATTGAATAACGCACTGTGCAGCTTCTGGAGAGATTGGAAAACGCACTGCGTTGTTTCTGGGGTGAATGAAAAACACACTGTGCAGCTTCTGGTGCGCTTACAAAAGGCACTGTGCGGTTTCCGAAGCGGCTGAAAAACGCACTGTGCAGCTTCCGAAGAACTTAAAAACGCACTGTGCAGGTTTCGTTACTGGTCAAAAGCGCACTGTGCAGTTTCTTGGGCGATCGAAAAGGCACTGAACAGTTTGCGGGGCGAGTAAAAAACGGGCTGTGCAGTTTCTGGTGCGAATGAAAAACACACTGTGCAGTTTCAAGAGGTCCTTAGTAACGCACTGTGCAGCTTCCGATGTGACTAAAAAACGAACTGTACAGTTTCTGGAGCTCTTTAGCAACGCTGTGCAGTTTCTGATGTGAGTGAAGAGAGCACTGTGAAATTTTCGAAGCGATTGAAAAGTGACTGTGCATTTTCCGAAACGATTGGAAAACGCGAACGACGAGGCGACACATTTGCCGCGACCAACCCACATTATTTTCCCGACTGACTAATAGTAAAAGTAAACTAGAGACTGTAAACCGGCTTATACACATTGTAATAATACTAATAGTTTCCTGAAGTGACGTCGCCGAAACAAACACCGACTACATGTGCTTTAGGGGGCCTTAATGGTTTCACAGAATGAAATTCAACCGACCTCAGATTAGCCGGCTGATGCGACGCGGGCTGTTTTTGCGGTTTTCAGCCGGTCTTTTCGAAACATTTCCCAACTAAATTCAACCCATGTTATAGTAGATTTGTAAGGCTACTATAAGTGAGAATTTCACAGGCGGGAATTTTAGAATATGGCCAAGGTAATCAGCACTCTCCTGGCGCTCTGTTTCCTCCACCACGTGAAGGCGCAATGTAATGGGACCGGAATTTGGTCCGAGTGGCTGTCGTATGGGAGTTGCGCCGAGCAAACGGACGGGTCGTTCGCGATGGTCCGATATCGCGATTGTGACCCGTTGCCGTCGGGTTGCATCGCTGATTCGCCGTACATTTGCAAGTAGGAGTTTGAGGAGCGGGATAGGGGAAGTGGTCCAAGTGCGACGCTGAGATTTTGATTAAACATGGCACAAATTTAGAATATCTTTTGTGAAGAATTATGCGACATTTCTCCTGCTACGTCTTTTTCAAAATTACCCAGATTTTTTGCTCGCGGCTCACAGTGCCTTTTGCCTTTATTGGCGACGGGCCTTTCTATCAGTCTGTCGGGAAAATAGTGAGCACAAGTTTTTTCTCTGACCACTCTCCGCGTTTTGCGCCCTCTCTCAGCTGCCCTTGTAAAAAGCCAAAATTTTCGAGAATTGCCGAGAAGTCCGAGCGTCGCACTTGGAACCAGAGATTGCCACGGCTCCGGAGCCGGCTCTTGGCTCCGGCTCTGGGCGGCTCCGGCTCCGAGACGGGAGCCAAAGCCGGAGCCGGAAATTTTAGGGTCGGCTCCGGCTCCCGAGCCCAAAGTCGGAGTCAGGTTTCCCAGCGGTCAGAAAAGTAAAAATTTCATGATTATGTTAAATCAAATTGCTTGAAAAAAACACTGCGGAGGATGCGACTTGACTGCAAAAACGTTGGCTGTATGATCTCTGGCACTAATAACTTTTATTTTTGGAAAAATATTTTTAAAAAAACATTTTGCATAGGAGCCGGGATTCGGAGCCGACGGCCTTTCTAAATTTTGCACGGAGCCAAGAGCCGGAGCCTGAGCTGCAAATTTGGCCTCGGCTCCGGCTCTGGGCGCTAAGAGCCGGAGCCGGTGCCGAAATTTTGACCGTGGCAATCTCTGCTTGGAACCCATCTTTGGAATGGACGCCTGTTATTTATAGTGAATTTTTAAACTTGAATACTTTTAGCGGCGAGTTCTCATCGAGTATGTCTTGCGGTAAGTCATTAAAAAACCAGTTTCTCTTCAGCATTTTAAATTAATCTCAGTGTGTCGGGAAAATAATGAGTACAATGTCGCTGGATTGAAAAGCAATTTTATTTTGCCGCGAGACAATTTATTTCCTCGGCGGTGATGCGATTTTTGATGCGACAGATTGCTCATTATTTTCCCGACAGACTAATAAAAGTTTAACTCTTTCTTTTGTAGACGGCACAATCTCCTCGACATTGACATCATTGTCATCTTCATCCCTCGCCACAACCGTTGTGATTTCGACTAGAAGAAGAACCACTCTCCCTGTTCCAACGACCATTCATACTTCAACGTCGACTCTTCATACGTCAACTCATGCAGCGGCACCGACCCGAACTCGAACTTCAACGTCTACTTCCACCACCACCACTACTACTCCTGCTCCTACAAGTACGCCAGCCGCAGTAACTACTCCAGTCGCAATAACTACGCCAGTCGCAACAACCATTCCAGTCGTATTAACCACTCCACTTGCTACAACTTCGACGGCCGCTCCAACCCTGCCTAGTGGAAATAATCTTCCCTCGTGCTCGTGGGCCGACTGGGGAGCCTTCAGCAGCTGCACGGACACTTGTGGAATGTGTGGAACACAGCAGAGGTTCAGGACTTGTTCGAGCACAACTTGCACTTGCTCTGGGTAAGCGATTATAAGAGGGTTTTGGGCAAAGACCTCAAAATGTCTCCGCACTCTTGAAAAAGCGTAATAGTGCTAGTCGTGTCGGGAAAATAATGAACACAATGTAGCTGCGCCGATCGTGCTTCTGAAAAGGAAAGTACTTTTATGGGGGCTCCTACTTTTTGACCGGACATATCTCAAAAAATCAGAAAAAATGTGCTGATCAAGGATATATAAATCTTAGCTGCCCATTTTAGGTTTTTAGGGGTGAAAACTCAATCGGAAGTTGACTTAAAGTCCTATATGAACCCCTTTTCGCTTAATTTTTCACAGGTTTACAATTTTTATTTTGACTTAAAATGATGTTTATTGACTTTCTAAGACGTAATAAATCAGTCTTGGCACAAAAATTTATTTTTCCGACCTTCATCTTCAAAAAAAGTTGATTCGGCCCAAAAGGGATATCGAACCCGTGCGGCGTTCCCCCTTTGATTCGCAGACTACGGCACTAGCCACTCGGCCACACCGCTCTCTTACGAAGGAAGAGACCGAATGCGCTTTTTATCGTTTCGAATGCCTGCACCTTTTGTAGGGAAATTAAGCCAGTTTTTGGGCATTTTCACCTATAAAAACCTAAAATGGGCAGCTAAGATTTATATATCCTTGATCAGCACATTTTTTCTGATTTTTTGAGATATATCCCGTCAAAAAGTAGGAGCCCCCATAAAAGTACTTTCCTTGTGAAGTGAAAAGCATTTTTTTTCCCGCGACAATTCAAAGGCGATGCAATTTTCGACACGACAGAGTGCCCATTATTTTCCCGACAGTAGATAAAATTATTGATGATTTTCAGGTCAGCATTTGAGAATGTGGCCTGCGGCAGTATGGTCTGTCTCTATCCGCGCTCCAGTTGCTGTACCGGCTATTCTCCCACCTCTAATGGGTCCGCCTTTGTCTGTCAAAGCACCACTACCACCGGATAAGATGCTAAATCAATGTTTTTCGAAGAGTAAATTGGAGATGCTGCAACGAGTAAACATTATTTGTATTTTCATAAAGTGCATGGACTTATATCGTGGTCCGTACCGTGCACAAAAGGCCCCACTCTGCACCGTGCACTTCATCTCTTAGATTTGGTTTTTGCACTGTGCGGTGAAATACTGCTGCGACATACGCCAGTTTCAACCACCTTGCTGCGACGGGGCCAGGAATTTGCACAGTGCAAGTGGCTGTCTTTGAGGTTTGCACGGTGCGAAAAGACGAAAATGCACTGTGCGTTAGCGACAAGCGTGGGAAAATGTTCAAAATGCACTGTGCGATGGCGACAAGCGTGGGAAAAAAGTTCAAAATGCACAGTGCGAAAGCGACAAGCGTGTGAAAAAAGTTCAAGACGCACGGTGCTTTGGCGACAAGCGTGGGAAAAAAGTTCAAAATGCACAGTGCGTTGGCGACAAGCTTGCGAAAACAGTTCGAAATGCACTGTGCGTTAGCGACAAGCGTGGGAAAAAGGTTTAAAATGCGCAGTGCGAAAGCGACAAGCGTGGGAAAAACTTCAAAATGCACTGTGCGTTAGCGACAAGCGTGGGAAAAAAGTTCAAAATGCACAGTGCGTTAGCGATAAGCATGGGAAAAATGTTCAAAATGCATTGTGCGTTGACGGCAAACGTCCATGCACTTTATGAAAATCCGTCATCAACTTGACTTCAACAATTTCTACAACCTTTATTATCGCTTCAAACTCATTATTAACGCTATAGTGTTGTGTTGTGTCGAAATTCACAGCCCTTCCGGCATAGGGTACCCAAATAACCTGTAGTCAAAGTAGTACAGGTTAACAATCCGGCGCATCAACCGCGTGTTCCGCCCAATCATTTCCTTGATCTCCGCTCTTTCCGGCTTGTCGTTCGTCGAATGCTTGGTGGTGGTGCCGTTGAGCGCCTCTGTTATTAAATTCAGCGTCGCCGGGGGTACAGATTTTCGGCGGAAGATGTCCATTATCTGCGTCAACATCGCCGCATAGCCGGGCGATTTGGGTGGGGAGAAGTGGATGATTTCGTATTTGTTGATGAATGAACCGAAGTCACATTGCCTAAAAATGGAAGCGGGTATCAAGCTGTTAAGGTGTCGGATTGCTCAAATATTGAGTTGAAAAAATCGGTTTGTTTCACTAGCAATAAATATACTACAGTGGGGGACCTGATCTAGTGGCAAAAAACGTACCATTTTGCATCCAAGAAGTATAAAAAATGTAGCAAAATGCCTCCCTCTCCAAGTGAAAAAAACTCAGATTTCAAAATCGCGTAAGCTCTTTTTGTGAGGAAAAACGACGCTTCCTTCAAAATGAAGTTTTTTTTCACTTTTAGAGGGAAGTATTTTGCCACATCCTTGATGCTTCCCGGATACAAAATGAAAGCGTTTTGCCACTAGATCAGGCCCCCCACTGAATACAAGAGTGAAGAAATAAGATCGCACGGGTCGTTCCGAAGCAAAACGCTTTCCTCACTTTTTTTTGAAAAAATAGAATGGAAGAAATGAGGCCGACATGAAAAAATAGCTGGAGAAAGCAAAATTAGCGTCTTTTTCAAAATCTCAAAATTGTTCTTATTTCTTCATTCTTATGTGTAGCTTCCTACCAGTTCTGCGGGAACAGATGAGCATCAAAGAAGTCGGGGAAAACATCTCCCTTCTCTGCCCATCGGAACCCTCGCTCCTCGATGTTTTTCAGAACACATTCAACATCTCTCTCATCATCACAACCATAGCACAACGCACCCGTCTTTCGGCGTTCTCTAAAGACAATAAATTTGATCTAAAACCAGCTTCTACTCACAGCATGCATTTGTCGACGTAATTGGAAACGAAGCGATCCAAGGGATCCCGGACAACCACAAACCATTGCCAATCAATGCTCGTGTGCACACTGTAGATACGGGAAATGTTGTTGCCTTCGTTCAGACCTTCACAGAATCTGCAAAGAAGAGGGAATTTTGATAGCGGAAAAAATTTTACGGACTTGGCGCGACCAGTGAAAATTACGTCATTTTTTATTAATTGTCTCCCAAAAAGTCCTTGCAAATTAATATCAGTCTGTCGGGAAAACAATAAGCACTCTGTCGCTTCGAAAATCGCGTCGCCGCTGAGAAAATGAATTGTGTTGTGGGAAAAAACAAGTTTCTTTTCACTTTAGCCACGCGATTGGCACAGAGACATTGTGCTCATTATTTTCCCGACAGACTGATAAAAAGTTCATTTTCAAATTTTTCGAGCATTCCAAGACTTTTTTGAGAATTTCCTTTGCTTTACAGACCCCCCTCCCCGTTATAAATTCCCATCTGCCCCCTCGAATCTACCCGCTATTTCCCCCCTCTTCAACGCAAGAGTGTTTTTTATTCAAACCACTAGGCAAAGCGCCTCGAGCGAGAGGAAACTGTTTCGCCGGGGGGCGAGGAAGAGACCTCGTCCCGCGGAGTGAGTGGCTACAGAACATAGCCAGCACCGCGCCGGGAATTCGCGGACCACCCGCACGCTCTTCTGTTGCGTATTTGCTGCAAAAAACGGCTCGAGGATGCACTTTTGACGTGGGCCCGCCGCTGCGGTGGTCTCGGGAAAAGCGCCGCCAACGGGTGGCCCGAGGCAGTACTCGTAACGACGAATGGATCTTGTTTTGGATCCCCGTTGCTTGCGTTCCCTGCGGTCTCTTCGGGAGCGGTGGTATTTTGGGCCGGGAGTGGCGAATTTTCGGACCACCCGCGGTTGTTGGCAACGCCGAGGTCGGAGCCGTGGACACTACACACTAAATGATACGATGACACTGTAGCGGTCTGGGGCGGGTCAGCCGACCCCCTGAAACGGTGCTCCAACGAAACCAGCGATGGGCTTGCGAAATGTGTCATTATGACCGATTTTTTATATAGACCCCCCAGTTTGGGGAGATCTTTTGTTTGTATGGCCATATTAGAGCAATGCGGGGAATTTTGCGACCAAGGAATGAAGCTCCATGCTCTTTGGACCTTTGTCATCATGTCCTATTTCCCACAAGTACCCATAATTCCCTTGCTTTTTCGTCTTGCCCCGAATTTCGCGGACCTCCGTTGCAAAAAACAACATGGGTGGCTCATGCGGGAGGCCCGGAGGTCTTCGTCACAGTTGTGTCGACCATGAACTCTGCGTGCGGCCTCGCTTTTCCGCTCCCCACTCCCTTCCCCCACTCCCTTTCATAACATTGCCTCGAGGCATTTGCGCCCGCCTCCTGTCGCCAAGCCGGAGGGCGCCGAATTGTGGGGCCGCCCGCAGTGCATTTTGCAACATTTGAGGCGGACGTTCCGGCTTCGCTATACGGCCCAGTACTAGGCGAATCCGATGGGGGGAGTGGGCCGTCCACACGCCCCACGATACCATCAATCCGCGGGAGTTTAGAGCCACGAAACTGGCGTGGACCCGCCGGGGATCGGGCCCTGTTGGCCGTTTGGGGTTCGTGCTCATGCCCACCGGCGAAGAGGGGCAGAGCTGTGCCCCTGCCGGGTGGTCCGCGAAATGGTCGGCACTCTCGCGGATTAGGCCGCTCTCCGGCGGGCGTTCGGCCCCGTCTTTACCGGTTCGTTTGAGGGGAGTGGCCTCTCGTCGCTCGACGCGCCTCGGGTGGTCAGCGGGCACGGCACGGAACGTTCCCATTGGGGGACCGTTTCTCATGCAAAAAACGCGTGTGGCCCGCGAAATGCGGCCTCAACAAAGGGAGGAAAAAACGGCTCGAAGAGACGGGGGGATTTTCGGTGTGCAATGGCCAAGAGAATGGGCCAATTCGTAAGGGGTTTGAGCAAGAAATTACGGAAAAGAGGAGTGGAAGCCCAAAAAACGATGACTAATATTTGTCGGGAAAATAATGAGCACAGTGTTGCTGTGTCGCTGAAGTGAGACGCAATTTGATTTTGTCGCGACAAAATTAATTTTCTCGACGGCGATGCGATTTTCGATGCGACAAAGTGCTCATTATTTTCCCGACAGACTGGTACTAGCGCCATAGAGTTGCGACACATTTAAAACACGATTTCTGAGTCACTGAATGAGCCGTGGACATAGAAAAAAATCGATTTTGAGTTTTAGATTTTAAAATGACCGCAGGCATCCAGTAAACCTATTCCTGAAAGATTTTTGCCAAATTCTCTCATTAACCTACTGTAATTTACAATTTAATGTTTTTACAGTAATCGACAATTACAGCAATATTACTCACTAGAAATGGCTGAAATTGAGAATACTGATGTTTTAGGCTACGCCCGCCATAAAAAACACTGAATTTGGACCGTCGGGTTACTGTAACATACCGCAATGTGGGTTCGGCCGAACAAAATCGGCCATAAAAAAGTTATTTCCCAAATGCCGCAGCTGATTTTTACAAATGTTAATCAGCGTAAAATTCTGCCCTAGAAACATTAAAAAAAAGTGTAAAAAGTCATCACCCCTTTTTCGTGGTGTAGTGGATTTTGGTCAAATTTAGTAATCCGAAGGTCGCGGGTTCGATCCCCGTGGAAGGAAAATGCGTAAAACTGCACAAAACCTCAAAAAATCGGTTGAGGTGGATTGATTATGTATATCAGAAGTATGAAAAATTGTATCAAAGTTGATTTCCAAACTTGAAAGCATTTTTTTGATGATGAAACTTGGATTTTGGTTTCCGTGGATTATGGTATAAATTTAGTCTAGGAAATGGCTAGAGTTGTTTATAATTAGGTTTTTTAGCCTTCTGAATTCAATGGAGTAGAGTTTTTGGCCATAGGATTACTGTAACATAGACAAAACGGATTTCGGCCGCTTAAAATCGGCCGTAAAACGGTTGTTTCTAAACATACGCAGCTAATTCTTCAATTTTTGGAATCAGCGTGAAATTCTGCTCTAGAATCATTAACTATAATATCCTAACTGGCCGCACAAATTCCAAAGATTTTTTTTCGAGCAGATTAGAAATTTTTCAGTAAAAAAAGTCATCCGTGGAAATCGAAAAAAAAAAATTCTGAGATTTTGGTATAAAAATGTTTGCATACGTTGATGAAACTTAGCCTCAAAATATTTTCGGCTAATTCTTTCGCTAACATAGTTTTATTTACAATTTCCAAGTTTTAAAGTAAGTCACCACTGAAAACAAAGTATTCAACCAATAAGCCATTGTTTAGGCGCAAATTGTGTGAAATTTCACGCTGATTCCAAAAATTGAAGAATTAGCTGTGTATGTTTAGAAACAACCGTTTTACGGCCGATTTTAAGCAGCCGAAATCCGTTTTGTCTATGTTACAGTAATCCTATGGCCAAAAACCCTGCTCCATTGAATTCAGAAGGCTAAAAAACCTAATTATAAACAACTCTAGCCATTTCCTAGACTAAATTTATACCATAATCCACGGAAACCAAAATCCAAGTTTCATCATCAAAAAAATGCTTTCAAGTTCGGAAATCAACTTTGATACAATTTTTCACACTTCTGATATACATAATCAATCCACCTCAACCGATTTTTTGAGGTTTTGTGCAGTTTTACGCATTTTCCTTCCACGGGGATCGAACCCGCGACCTTCGGATTACTAAATTTGACCAAAATCCACTACACCACGAAAAAGGGGTGATGACTTTTTACACTTTTTTTTAATGTTTATAGGGCAGAATTTTACGCTGATTAACATATGTAAAAATCAGCTGCGGCATTTGGGAAATAACTTTTTTATGGCCGATTTTGTTCGGCCGAACCCACATTGCGGTATGTTACAGTAACCCGACGGTCCAAATTCAGTGTTTTTTATGACGGGCGTAGCCTAAAACATAAGTATTGTCAATTTCAGCCAGTTCTGACTTGTGGTTTTGTTGTTATAGTCGATTACTGTAAAAACAGTAAATTGTAAATTACAGTAGGTTAATGCGAGAATTAGACAAAAATATTTCAGACATATGTTTACTGGATGCCTGCAGTCATTTTAAAACAAAAAACTCAAAATCGATTTTTTTCTATGTCCCGGCCTTGCACACGGCTGATTCAGTGAGTCAGAAATCGTGTTTTAACGCTTTTATCGCGCGAGAAAATTGGAGTTTGAAAATGCACTGTGCATTTGCGATAAAAAGGAAAAATCTACGCACTTTATGAAAGTATAGCTTGCCGTAATGTGCTTACCTTGTCCAAAAGCCATCATGAATTACAGATCGGTTGTTCTTTCCGAAGCCCTGCGGATCGTACAGATAGCACATCACATTGGCCATCACCGTGGACATGGTTTTCGGGATGACGCAGGTCGCGAGGCCATAGCGGTCGGCAAACTGAAATACGAACAAAAATTAGGCGAGAACAGGATATTAGCATTTTCATAAAATGCATGGGCATTTTTTCGTTTTCGCACAGTGCATTTTGAACTTTTTTCTCGCTGTCGTCAATGCACAGTGCATTTTGGTGTTTTTGCACCTGCAAATCCAAAAAAAAGTGTTGCAAAATCCTTGTGCCGACGCAGCGACATGGCTAAAACTTTCTTATGTCGCTGCGATTTCCGCGCACAGTGCAAAGAAGAAAAAAAAACGAAATGCACAGTGCAAAAATAGGGAGTTTTTGTGCACGGTGCGTGGCGCGACAAATGTCCATGCACTTTATGAAAATGCTACTAATCGTTCCATAAAGTGCGTAGACTTTTTTCCAGTGAAAATATCAGTCTGTCGGGAAAATATTGAGCACAATGTCGCTATGCCGATCGCGTCGCTGAAGTGAAAAGCAATTCTACACAAGTCATTTTTTCATGCAATTTATAGGTGCGATAGAGCGCTCATTATTTTCCCGACAGACGGACAGATACAAGCATCGACAAAAATGGACCATTTAGCCGCCACCCTCACCCTTATTTGGCTTTGAAAGTTGCGGAACGCCGGCAAAATCTCCTTGACATTTGTGGGCCCAAAACGCTCGACTACCGGCGCTTCCGTCGTCGTCGTTGTCGTGGTTGTCGTTGTAGTATTTGCAATTTCAGGACACCCAGCCTCGATGATTTCGGGAGCAGGCCGAGTCAACGGGTTGAGCAGAGCGAAGGTTATGAGCATTAGGAAAGAAGTGATTGCAACGGAGAGCGCAACATCTTTTCGTTGACCCCACATCCCAACTAACAGCAAATTGAGGAGCCTGCGGCGTCGCCGACATCAGCAGACGGCGTGGGTTTTTCCCGAGACGCGCTTTTTTTGAGTTAGTGATTGTCGCTGAGATAGCGGCGACACAACGAAACATAAGGGGAACGTTTTGGGAGGACTTAAAACATGATTTTCTTAAGTCACTCCCTCAGCCGGCTCCAGGGAAAATCAGTCTTGCGATCTTTGGATTGAAATAATTGACAGCGCACTGGTGTTGTAGTCTGTCGGGAAAATAATGTGGATTCGTCGCGCCTGAGAAGCGCCCATCATCGCTTTGCGACGGCCAACGGCGACTGGAGAAGCGCGACTGCGACAAAGCCAGACGTTTTATTGCGGCAAATCCACATTATTTCCCCGACAGGAAGGGTATCGGTCTGTCGGGAAAAAAACGGCGGATCGTCGCGCCTCGGAATCGCCCATCATCGCTTTGCGACTGCAAGCCGCGGATTGGGATTTGGTGCGCGACAGCGGCGAGGCGAGACATTTTGATGCGACGATCCGCCGTTATTTTTCCGACAGACTGATATATGTATCTTTGAAAATGCTATCAGTCTGTCGGGAAAATAATGAACACAATGTCGCCGAGCCGATCGCGTCGCTGAAGTGAAACGAAATTTGATGTTGCTAAACTGGCTGGCCAGGGGAGAATGGAATTTGATGTGAGATCGACCGGTATGATAAGACGAGAAAACCAAGGAGGAGTATTTATTTGACACCAAAGAAGGAAAACTGATTAGAAAATGATCAGTGGCTTTTATAGTGAATGAGCAAACTTATGCAAACTTGGGGATATCGGATAAAGCCAAGAAATTTTGTTGCGACAAATCCACATTATTTTCCCGACAAGCTGATATAAAAAACCTCGAAAAATAAAGGATCATGCATTGTCACAGGGAGGCACTCAAAGGATTTTGATGAAACTTGCCACAAATTTAGAACTGTTGCTTCTAACAAGGGAAGTCACATTTTTCGCAGATCGATCCTTGTGGATGTTGAAGGCCTCACATAGCGTAAGAAGAGATTGATTCTAAAAGTGTTTATGGGCCCTAAGGCCCATAAACCAGAGAGTTATGGCTCATCAAAGTTCACGGAAAAACCCACCGGAAAGACCTTCCAAAAAACTTGTAAGGCGTATACGACGCTCCTGAAGAATTGCAAAGATTTTACAGTTTTTTGCAAATTCTGGCATGAAAAAAATTTCACTTTACACCGTGCATTTCAATTTTATACTGGTTGACAAAAGTTTCTTTCCACCTCATATCTCGGGAACCGCTGGGCCTACAATTTCCAAATTCGGCATAGAAACATCCTGGGACAATCTAACGCCATACCCAAAAACTTGATGCACTTTCAGTGCACTTTTTATGCAAAAAGCAAAAAACGGGATGACAAAACTTTCTTTCCACTTCGGAAAACGTTTGTAAATCGTAAGCCTTTTCACTTTGCTGTAGCTTTTTGCACCGTGCAATAGGCTTTTCCGGGCTGTCGCTTGCACCCTGACTTCTCCTGCACAGTGCATATCGCCAAAATCACTGTAGCGACGTTGCGAACGCTCGCGAACGGACTGGTACTTTTTTTGTCAGTAGAGAACTTGCTTTTATTTTATTTCTGTTCTCGTCATTGCCGATTCGTCGAAAAAACGAGAAGAGTCTATAAAAAAACGAACGAAAAGTAATTATTTTATAATCAAGATTTTAGGAGTTTTAGAGTCGAAAATGACGTCAAGCAAACTTGTGTTGAATTATTTCGCGATTGAGGTCGAGATAATAAGATGGATTTTGATTTTCAAAGAATTGAGAGAAATTTTTAAAAGTTGGAAAAGTATCAAAGATCAATGTACCGACGGAGAAAAAATTGACATGTAAAATAGGACTTTCATATTTTTTCGTTAGCAAAAGTTGTTGGAGTGATTTCAGCGACATGCACTGTGAGAAAACAAAAAAGGCAAGGTCCACTGAAAAATAGGTCAAAATTTATAAAAAGTTTGATCTAAGTTTGAGCGTCGCGCTAGCAGCACTCCCTGAAATGTAAAATACGCATTCTTCTTTTCAGAAATTTTTTTATAATCATTCTGCGACATTTTCCAACATCCTAAAAATCGCACTGTGCGAAAACAAAAGTTCAATTTGAATTGTGCAATTTCGTGCTTTTTGCACCGTGCAATAGGTTTTTTTGAGCTCTCGCTCGGACCCTAACTTTTTTCGCACAGTGCAAACGCCAAAAATCAGTCCGCCGACTTTCCGGAAGGACTAGCATTCTTTTAGGCTTTGAGGGTAAATTGCCCACTAATTTTTTCTGATTTTTCACTCTCCCCTCGCTCCAAAAATTCCATTGGTACTAATGTAGTACTTTTATAAAGTCGCTGGAATAATTCTGGCCACATGCACTGTGAGAAAAACAAAACTTCACTTTGCACTGTGCAATTTTTTGTTTTTTGCACCGTGCAACAGGCTTTTTGGGTCTGACTTTTTTCGCACTATGCAAACGCCAAAAATCAGTCCAGCGACCTTGCGAACGGACTGGTACCTCCCAAACTCCTTGAGAATTCTCCCAAATCAAATAATTTGCAACCCGAAACAAAGAATAACATTTTTTTTTGATTTTGTGCCCCCGATCTGGCCATTCCTTTTTGTTATTTTCCGCTCAACTTCATTTGCATATTTGATCGGCTCAGACAATTTTTTTGTGGGCCAGAACCTGGGCCACAAAGACCGTCCACAAAGCCGTCCGAAACCGTTGAAATTCCCCGCTGCGAAACGGCCTTGTTGGGGCTGCTTTATCAGCGCCAATCACCCGCTTTTTATGCGGGGTTTTATTGCCGCAGGGCGAGGTTTGTTTTCAGGAAGTTTTAAGCGTAATTAAGGGGGCTTAGCGGTGCAAAGGATGAGTGTTTTTGTGGGTGATAAAAATGTAAATGGGGCTTTGAATTGTTGGAGATTGGCGTTGTCATTTGATATTTGAAGGGAGAGTACAGTAAAGAGAAAGAAAGAAAAGATAAAAAACCTTCGATTTTTGCTATGTTTGCAACATTTGAGGCAAAAGAAACAACGTTCCAAACATGACGCAAGGGCTGGGGAATTATTAATTTTACCTCTTTTTCTCGGCTCATACTGTAACATGGAGCTGGAGGCATTTTTTATCAGGCTGTCGGGAAAATAATGAGCACAGTGCTGCTGCGTCTTTCGCGTCGCTGAATTGAAAAGCAATTTGATTTTGCCGCGACAAAATTAACTTTCTCGGCGGCGATGTGATTTTCGATGCGATAGAGTGCTCATTATTTTCCCGACAGACTGATAGTATTTTCAAAGATATATCGGTCTGTCGGGGTATTTTCAAAGATATATCTGTCTGTCGGGAAAATAATGTGGATGTGTCGCAGCAACATTTTTCGCCTCACCGCAACGACTAGCCGTCGCAAAGCGATGACGGACAATTCCGAGGCGCGACAAAACACTCGTCGCACATTTTTTTGAACTTATCAGTCTGTCGGAAAAATAACGGCGGGTCGTCGCGCCTCGGAATCGCCCGTCATCGCTTTGCGACGGCTGCCGAAGCTGAAGATTTGGTGCGCGATAGCGGCGAGACATTTTGCTGCGACGACCCGCCGTCATTTTCCCGACAGACTGATATTTACAAAGCAAACCTTAAAATTTTTCGAGATTTTTACTTTCCAAAATTTCATTTGTCTCCAACCAAAACCATTGGCCATTTTTCTGTCGAAATCGCCACTTTTCGCGACAGTTTTTCCGATTGTCTTCACTTCCGACTGTCTTCCAAAACATTCTCCCCCAAATCACCGCAATCCTTTCGAATCCGCTGATTTTGTAAAGTCCTGGCCATCTTCTTCTCCCACTCAAACGACGTCTTTGAAAGAAATTTTTGGGGACACCAGATCTCGGAAGATTATAAAAACCGACTCATTTCGTATTGTCATCCTTTTTTTGGCTCCGGAATCGGATCTTTTCGACTGTTTTCGACGCCGTTTTATGCGTTATTTCCCGATTTTCGTAGTGTAATATCACGTGATCTGGATTACGGTACTCGTTGTGAAGGATTATTATAATTTCTTGGTTACTTTTTAGTTATTTTTTTACAAAGTACCCATTTTCTGGGACTACTTTACATAAAAATGCAGTAAACATAATTTCGAAATATTTTTTTATGCCATTGTCAAATGGATAAGTCATCCATTTCCCATGTTTTGATACTGTAAAAAACTAATTTGAATTTCCGCTACTTTTGGCCGTGTTTTGCCCAGAATTCAGCTGACCGTAGCTGGTAATTTTACAAAAACACGGGCTTTTTTGTTGTTTTCGGGCGATTTCTGGCCTCAAAAAACGTTGTGTGTGGCATAAAGGCTCTATTTTTGTTGTAACGCGTCCATTTTATATCGTACTTGGCTTCAATTAAAGATTTTTTAAAATTTTTGTCATCTTTTATACAAATTAGTATACTTTTGGTCAATTTTTTGGTTCCCTTACTCTAAAATTGTTTCTAGACTTTGTTCAAAGAACATAGACTCGGTTTAAATCATGAAATCGGGATTTATATTGTACTTGACATCAAATTTCCAAAAAGAAAATTTTTCGTCATGTACAATATAAATTAGCGCACTTTTTGTTGAAACCGCTGGGTTGTTCGCTTTGAAACAGTTTCTAATCTCTTCTCACGCGTTTCACTTGCAATCGTTTTCCTCGGATTCCAGAAGCACTCCCGCTTTTGACCCCTCCTAATCAGCCTAATCGCCAGCTTGTTTGCATAAAAGTTTCTCCCATTTTTTCTCGTTTTTTGAATACCAAACGTAGTTCAATATATCATGAAGGTTGCAAGACGCTCGTATTTTACTTCTAATTTCAGTTTCGCCTATATTCTATTGAAAATCGCCGAATTTTCCTCGTTCATTCGTAATCAAATTTCTCACCTCGGGCTGTCTGTTGGAAAGTCATTGTTTCGTATTTAAGACAAATCACTTCTGCTGTTCTTGGTCTGGTGAAACATTACGACACCAATTCAGAGCAAACAGCGGAAAACGCTGATTTTCGGCTTCAGAGAAAGACTTGACACAACGAAGCTTAGTGTGTCAAGTGTTTCTCTACAAGCGTGCCTTGACCGAAATCTGGATTTCGTTGCTGAAAGTCAAAAGCGTTAGGTTGGAAGTTGCAAATTGAACGCTTCATTCTCAAACTACCTCCAAAACTCCCTGAATTTATTCCAATTGACCTTTTATTGGTTTGGGTTTGGACGAACGAAAAGTTTTTATTGTTTGGAACGAATGATTTCTTGGAGTAACGTTTGCTTCGAGATTACTAATCCCGAATTTGTATGAAGTTGGTCTTTACTCCTATTTCTTTGCAATTTTCCCGAAAATGACGAAATTTTCTTTGCTTTGAGGCCTAAATTTAGGTAGGCAAGAGGTCTGAATCAAACGGGTAATTTTGAAGGCGTTTATTCTAACTTTTTGAAAGATCTGTGGGTCTTGTGACAGTTGTCGGGCCTGCGATTTAGTCAAAAATTATGTTGTACATGACAATTTAGAGAAGCTGGCCAAAACGATCAAAGACCTCAAGATAGCTCGGTAACACAATGAGAATAAAGCCCACTCTGGCCTTCTTGGTCCTTTACACGAGCTGTTGCGTCAACCTGCACGGAGTTTCCGCCTCAAGGCGTCCGAAAATCGTGAGTTTTACTTTTGATCATGGTGAAGATAAAGTTCCCTTCTAAATCAACGTTTTCGCCGATTTGGATGATAAATTTGCCTTTAGATTATTGACGAAAGTCAACTGGATGTGAATCGAAGCATTGTAGTGGGTGGAGAAAGGATTTTCGTTCCAAAACACCTTCCCAAACTGAGCAGAGCCGAGAAATACGCGCTGTTGCGCAAAGAAGGCATTGATCCGTTCGCCAGGAAGCGGCGGACAGGTAGGAATTGATTTGACTAGTTTGTTTGAACTCTTATTTGGCTTGTGATAATCGTTTGACACGAAGACTCGGCTTATTTTTCTTCTTTCAGTGAAAAAGAATCGTCGATCCCTCCTCGAACTGAATGCTTTGTCCGAGACACCCTGGAAAATCCAGAACACGGCCTCCAAAGGCGTTGATCTTCTTCCACTAAAAACGCCGCTCCTCTCGGCTGACCCTCACAACTGTCCGGAGCACTTCGACGCCATCACCGAAGGCCACAACCACCGGACCTACATCTTTGCCGGCGAATACGTCTATCAGATCTGGCGAGAGGACGGCCTTCAACAAAGAGCCGGCTACAAGATCAGCGACCTGTTTCTGGACGGTCCAAGACGTGTGACGGCGGCCATGACCAACCTGAAGAGTGGGGTTACTGTGCTGTTTGATTATAGGAAGGTTTATCGGTTCAGATGGTCCGAAAAGGTCAAGAGATTCAGAGTAAGTCAAGGACGATAACCTTGTAGATTTCTGTGGGTCCAGAAAATGTGTCATGATGACAATCGTTTAAAATGTGCCAGTGATATGAGTACCCCTAGGGTACTCACAACAAAAACTTGGGTTCCCAACTTTTGCAACGCACAATTTTGATGACACTTTTTCTGGATTTTTTCAACGGCGAGAAACTTTAAGGCTTTTCAACGCCCGAAATTTCTTCACATGCTCTAGAGAGTACTCCTAGCCATATACAGCCGTTTTTTAATACCACTGGCACATTTCAAACGGGTTTCATCATGACATATTTTCTGGAAACACATAGATTTGTATAAATTTCGTTCATTTGCCAACGTCAACCTTTCAGCCAGCCAGAAACAGTCCGCAGAACCTGAACGAGAAGATCAAATTTGTCCCGCGACTCGCCTTCCAATGGAAAGATGGGAACATTATCATCTCGGATGTAGGTCATGGATAATATAACTTTTTGTCACAATCAACCAGGAATCTTTATGATTTTTATGTGTTCAGGGCCAACGATTCGTAACCTATGATCCTTACTGGAATGTAGCCACGTTCGAAGGCAACATCACCGATTATTTCCCCAACATTCCACGAGACGCGATTGGTCTGGCACACAACGGAAGGTCAACATTTTTGCTGCTCACTTGGCACAATGGACTTCAAGTGAGTCGTAGTTGCAAATAAGGAGGCGATTAGTCACTTTTGTTTGGGGAAAATTGTTGAAAATTAGGGGAATTTCAAAACTTTGCCTAGTGCACGCCGAACCGAAATGGTTGATAGAAATGGAAAACTAGTTTTTGAGTCTTGGCACGAAAACAAAAGAATTTTTTAAATTATTTTTTGAGGTGGGCTTTTGGCACTTTTGGCATTCCGATTTTTGATGTATATATACGGTATCTTACACCGAATCGACTAACTGTTGACGTAAACGTGATGCTGAGATAATTTGGAATCGTTTGATATAAATTTCGGTCCTATTATACAACGTAAATGGTAATTTGTTGTTTTAGTGGTGCACAATGTCGGAATGCGCATTCTTGAACTCCGAATACGGCTTTAGGGTGTTGCATAACAACATACTGGCATAATAATAACATATAATTGTCCCTTCCTCCAATTATGGACAATTTCAACTAATATTACACTAGGCACCGAAAGAAAGCTAGTAAATATTGCTAAAAATATTCTAATCCATCTAACACAACGTTACATAACCTATGAACGATGTTATGTCGCAATAGTTCCATGTCCCAACGTAAAATCAGTAAAATCGAAACGTTTTTATTAAATTGTTACCTAAATTAATATAAAAGTTTGGTGTAGGCAGAAGAGAAACAATATATGAGCTGATTCCGTCGAGAATACTAAAATACGCTCAGAAAAGTCGCATCCAACCCAAATTGATGTATTATGGACTCCAAATGTGACAAATATTGTCAAAATAGATCAAATCCCTTAAAATTTTAGCTAAAAAAGAAGTTTTCAGAATGGAGAAAATAGATTGAGCAGCGAAAATTTGATGAGACCTACAGAAAGGTCTCATAAACAAAATTGTCTAGGCTTTTCCCCAAATTTGGACTAAAATCCGGTTTCCGAGTCGATTCTTCATCGGATGGTCGACACCTAAATTTCGAAAGAACGAAAAAAAAACCTAAAAAACACTTACATATATCCAAGAGATGCCTTTCATCACCTAAAGCAACCTATTCTCCAACTTCTGAAGCCATCCCCTTATTTTTACACCTTCTGCAAAAACGGTCACACTCGTTTCTGAAAATTAATTTTACATCTGTCTACAAAGTTTTGCCTGTTGCAGAATGCCAACCATTTCTATCAACCAAAAAAAGCCTATCTCGGTTCGGCGTGCTAGTGTAATATCGGAAAATCTGATAATTCCCCTACTTTTGACCATACAGAGTCTCAAAAAGTCCATTGCAGATCTACGACATGAAAAAGTTCAAGATTGTCCAAGAATATCCCATCTCCATCAACGATTATGTCGCCTGTCTCGTGGAATTCAACAAGTTCAACTCCCCATTGCTCAAGAACGTCCTTCCAAGATTCGGCAGCCCGGCTTTCAAGCGTGTCTAAACATTGTCGTCTGACTCACATCTCCTCCGATATAGCTCACTTTCATTTTTTCATCGTTTCCATCACATTCAGGGTATATTTTTGCTCAGATCTTGAGAACTACCACGTATTATTCATGTTTCATATATCCCCGCATATCTGCTCGGTCTTTTCATTGTTTGCTAATCTTGTTTAAAAATAAAACAGTTTTTTTTTCGTTTAAAAATTTGAGTTTCTGATCATGGATAATATATAATATTAAATTGGCATAAAACTTCGAGTTTATCGTTAGTCAGAGTATGTATACATATTACACATGAAGATCCATATAAAATCATTCTCATTTCGATCATTATTGACCAAAAATTCCTTTGTAAAACCGCCGTAGACCTCTATCGAAAAGGAAAATCACCTAAAAAACAAAAAACAAATCAACAAAGAGCTTACCACGGCTTTGTAAAAATTGATATCCTCCTGAACCGAGTGTCATGTCCAAGGAGGACAAATTTGGCAGGTCAGAGCCGGATTCCTCCATGTTTTGTTCCAAGAGCGTGCACTGGACAAAAATTTTAGAGAAAAAAACTAGGAAAACGTTTGGAAGAGAAATTCCGCGGTTCGAGTTGCGCCCGGGCTTTGCCGCAGACTGCGGAGACATTTTATACGATGCTTCCAAAATTTAGGGGTTGGGCTAAAAACAACAGAATATTGTTCTGTTGGTGTTTTGTCGTCGTAAAGCGACTTTATAAACCTTGTAATCGATCAAATTTGAGTAAAAATTCAAGTCTTTATTTCGGTCTTTATTTACAAATAATAATGTCGTTACTAAATAATAAATTAGCGGCCCAATTACAACTTGAGCCATTTTTGATACACTTCCGCACCCTCCTGAGCCTTGATCTCGTTGTGCCATCGTTTCTCCACCACCACCTCCATTTCCTTTCCCTTTTTCGTCAGCCGTAATCGCTTCCATTCGGGCGGGTAAGTGTCGAAATCGAAGTGATCCCGACAATCTTTGGCGTCTTTCGTGGCGAGATAATTGTAGAACACGTTGCCCTGCTTCCGCTCCTCCATCAAATAGCCCATCCACCAGCCGTACGTGGAGCCGGATGCCGAAATCAGCAGGGAATCGCAGTACTTGGCGCCGAACAGCATGTCCTGCGTTCGGCTGAGCCCGGAGGGCGTGAACACCTCCGCCACGTGCTGGAAATCGCATTTAACGGATGTCGCGCCAACCTACATTCTTGTCGTACTGTATACTCCTGGTGAACTCGCTGTTCTCCCCGATAAAAATGAGTCCCAACTTGCCATGCTGCTTCGTTAAATTCGTCGTTAAAAATTTCAACGCCGGCGTGATGAACGACTGCCTTGAAGCGAGCAGAAAGGCGTGGCGGACAAAGTCGCCGCGTCGAATGTGGACACAAAGTTTGTGGGTCTTTGAATCGCTGAAATTGAAAATTTTAATGTCGGGAAAATATTGAGCGCAATGTCGCTACGTCGAATGTGTCGCTGAAGGCAAAAAAAGCAATTTAATTTTGTCGCGAAACAATTGATTTCCCCGGCCGTGATGCGATTTTCGATGCGACAGAGTGATCATTATTTTCCCGACAGACTGATACATATTAGTTATAATAATAAGTTCATAACCCAAAGAGAAGTGCTCAGATTTTTGCCAAATTTTGCACACATCCTCTATGTAGGCCAGACACAGATTGCTAAAAATTTCAGTATCCATTCTGCAGGCGCAGCCGAGATATTGAACGATCTTTGAGCCCGAGAGAATACGCGAAATGCGGAGAGCGGACAGCGAGAGAACACTTTTTGGCCGTATCTTTGTCAGTTCCGCGTGGAAAAAATTGATTTTTTGTGAAAACATTACTCTGTACGACAGAAATAGATGCAAATTTTTTCATGACAAAATTTGCAAAAAAATGTCACATTTTTTAAAACTTTTTAACGAAAAATTTCGGTCGTTTCTTTCAAATTTCGAGCTAGGAGTCTCGCATATGTCTTGGAAAAAATTAGTCACGATTTTTGGCAGGTTTCATCAAAATCTGCGCCAAATATACATAATATTTGGGTGATTTCTTCTTTTTTTTCTTGTTCCTTACCCCATCAATTCTTTGGCAAAGCGGTCCACGAACTGGGTTTGCTCATCGGCAAATCGAAAGACCTCTCGGATTTTGGGCTTGATCCCATGGAAATACTTGTAGGATTGGAGGAGATGCGTTCGGAGTTTGAGGAATTTGTGGCTGTCGTACTTGCCGGCTAGCCTGAAAACAAAAATTTGAGATTTTGAAAAAAAATTGGAAAACTGATGTTATCCGTCTGTCGGGAAAATAATGAGCACAATTTTGCTGCGCCAATCACGTCGCTGGTAAAAAAAAAGCAATTTGATTTTGCTGCGACACAATTCATTTTCCCGGCGGCGATGCGATTTTCGCTGCGACAGAGCGCTCATTATTTTCCCGACATACTAATAAAATTCCGTTGCGACAGAACTCTCCTCCTTTTCTGAACTCTCCCCCTTTTTGAACACTCCCCCTCATTTTGAAAATTAAAAAAAATGAGGTGTGACATGTTATACGATGGATTTTTTTTAATTGAGAAAAATTAGGTGTGACATTTTAATTTGAAAAAAAAATTACATCGTATAAGATGTCACACATAATTTTTTTCAATTTGAAAAAAATTCATCGTATAACATGTCACACGTCATGTTTCTCAATTTGAAAAAAAAATTTCATCGTATAAGATGTCACACATAATTTTTTTTTAGTTCGAAAAAATTTCCATCGTATAACATGTCACACCTTACTTTTCTCAATTCGAAAAAATTTCCACCATGTAACATGTCACACCAAAAATATAGACCCACTTTCTCAATTCGAAAAAATTTTCATCGTATAACATGTCACACCTCGTTTTTTCAATTTTGGGGTTCAACCATAAACTACAACAAAAAAAGTCTTACACCGACGAATTGACGTATTGGCAGATATTCAAGCTGAATGGGACCGCCCAGTTCTTGGGCTTGTCCGGCTCGAGCAGCCGAATTCCTTTGTAGAAGTTGGGCATGGCCGCTGCGAGTTCGGGAAGAATATGGAAGCTGCAGCGATATCGCTGGTCGATGAATGGGGTCCGCCCGATTTGATCGCCGATTCCGATTAATGCGGCGTGACGTTGCATCTGAAAAGTAAAATAAGGCTTTTTTCAGTGTGTCGGGAAAATAATGTGGATTTGTCGCAACAAAAGAATTGGGCTCATTATTTTCCCGACAGACTGAAAAAACAAAAATTTCCTGGTTTTGTCAATTTTTACCAAAATTTTCGCCTTTTTTCAGTGCGTCGGGAAAATAATGCGGATTTGTCGCAACAAAAGAATTGGGCTCATTATTTTCCCGACAAACTGCAAAAAAACAAAAATTTCTTGGTTTTGTCAATTTTCACCAAAATTTCTGCCTTTTTTCAATCTGTCGGGAAAATAATGTGGATTTGTCGCAGCAAAAGAATTGGGCTCATTATTTTCCCGACAAAATGCAAAAAAAAACAAAAATTTCTGGTTTTGTCAATTTTTACCAAAATTTTCGCTTTTTTTCAGTCCGTCGGGAAAATAATGTGGATTTGTCACAGGAAAATGTTTCGCCCAGCCGCAGTCGTGTACCGAATTCCCAGCAGCAGCTGACCATCGCAAAGCGGTGATGTTCGATTCCAAGGTGCGACAATCCACATTATTTTCCCGACAGACTGATATACATGCAAAAAAAATAATAAATAAAATGATTTACCTGATTGGCCAATCCGTTGCAAAACGTGAACGCCAGCCCAATGTATTTCGTGTCGGCAGCGGCTTCCGTCGACCTTCTGGAAGTCAAGCTTTTTCTGCCAATTACAATATTCGGAAAAACTTCCTTTTTCTGGCCACGCGTTTCGCAGCTTGCGCCCTGGTTTCCCTGCAGACTGCGAATAAAGATAGTAAACAGCCTATGCGCTAAACTAACAGGGGAAGTACTCCAAGTGCGACGCTCAGGTTTTCTTTAAATTTTGCACACACGTCGGGTACGGACTAAATATCAATTGCTGAAAGTTTTAGCTCGCGCTTTGCGGGCGCCGCCGAGATATCGAGCGATTGTTGCCGCCGAGAAAGCACGCTAAACGTGGAGAGCGGTCAGAGAGAAAAGCGCTTTTTGGCCATAACCTTGACAGTTTCGTGCGGAAAAATTTGATTTTTTGTAGAAACATTAAACTTTTCGTGCCGAAATTCGGCAAAAAGTCCTAAATTTTGGCCGACTTTCGGTCTAAAAATCTCGGTTGTTTCTGCAAAGCGCGAGCTAGGATTCTCGCATATGTCTTAGAAAAAATTATTCTAAATTTGTGCCAAGTTTCATCAAAATCTGAGCGTCGCACTTGGGGTACTTCCCCTGTAAGCCTAACCTGCCTAAGCCAGAGGCTAAGCCTAAGCCTGATATTCCTTGCAACCGGAATTGTTCGGGCGCAAGCTGTAAAGCGCGGGGCAAGAAAAAGGTAACTCAGAAAAGTGATTTGCAAGCAAAATCATTGCTACAGTAACATTGAAGGTCTTACTTTAGACGAATGAAATTTCCCTCCAATGAAACGGGCCATTGCAGACTGTCTGAAATCACAAATTGAAAAGATTGTAGCAATAAGTAGGCTTACCTTCCTTGAAACATAAATAAATAATGTAGAAAACACCGCAAAGAATCAGGCATTTGGACAGCCCGACCAGCTTATGAAAGTCCATGGCGTCCGAACCCGTAATTTGATGGCGACATAGACGACTGAAAATTGAAAAAACCTCGGACCGAGAAGCTGAAAGTTCATGGTAAAAAAGTGTTTGAACTTTGAAATTTAAATTTTCTTCAAAAATTAAAAAAACAAAAAAAAAAAAAATTTTTATGCGACCCGGTCGAGAATTTCAGTCGGTGTGGAAAATAAATAATGAGCACTCTGTCGCAGCGAAAATCGCATCGCCGCCGAGAAAATGAATTTTGTCGCGACAAAATCCACTTGCTTTTCACTTCAGCCGTTGCGGGGGAACTCTCCCCCTTTTCGAACTCTCCCCCTTTTTGAACACTCCCCCTCATTTTGAAAATTGAAAAAATGAGGTGTGACATTTCTTACGATGAAAATTTTTTTCAAATTGAAAAAATTAGGTGTGACATCGTATACGATGGAAATTTCACATCTCATTTTTCCGATTTGAAAAAAAAATTCCCATGTCACATCCAATTTTTATCAATTAAAAAAAATTCCATCGTATAACATGTCACACCTCATTTTTCTCACTTTGAAAAAATGTCGATCGTATAACATGTCACACACACCTCATTTTTCTCAATTTGAAAAAAGTTTTCATCGTATAACATGTCACACCTAGTTTTTTCAATTTTCGAAATGGGGGAGTGTTCAAAAAAGGGGAGAGTTCAAGCTCAACCCACTTCAGCGACACGATCGGCACAACCACATTCTGCTCATTATTTTCCCGACAGACTGATACTAGTCCGTTCGTAAAGTCTCTTTTTTATTCACATCAGACGAGTAACAAATTCCAACGATTTTTTACGTTTACCCAACGTAAAAACGATTTTTTACGTTTACCCAACGTCTACCGCTGCCACATTCCCACACTGATCTGTTGGGAAAGGATCACAGAGGATTTAGGGGGCAAAGTTTAATACAAATTGTAAATGGATAGCCCAGTTACAAAAATAAAATAGACTTGATTCGATGAAAGCCTTATTAGCCGCTGCGATTTGGAAGCAATGTGGTCTTTCGGTTTGAAAAAAAAAGAAAATACCAAAGCAAAGTGGGAAAAGTGTTATATACTATTTGCTCTCGCTGAACGATTGTTACAGAAAGAAGCATTTCGAAAAACCAACAAAAGGTCTGGTGACAAAGGAAGGGGTTTGTGGACTAATAAAGAATGAGCTCAACGCGTTTAAGTGCGAGGATTTGACGGGTAGTTTTTGGTCTGGAAACTTGGGGAAAATAATGTGGATTTGTCGCTCCTTGGAATCGCCTGAATCGCTTTCCGCGGCAGAAGATTTGGTGCGCTACTGCGGCAAAGGGGAATATTTTGCTGCGACAAATTCAATTACTTTCCCGACTGACTGATATGCGGAAATGTCGAGTTCAGCCCCCCATGACCCAGTACAACCCCCCTCGTCCATTTTGAACCCATATCCAAGCTGTATGAACCAGCAACAAGCCCCCTACGTTTTAGACGAAGCCAAGGGGGCTAAACTACCAAAGCCCCTATCTTTTTTACACTCTTTGCATAGGCTAAAAATCAGACCCTGAAAATCTTAGCTCCCGCTTTGCAGGGAGAGCCGAGCTGTTCAACAATCTTTGTCGCCTAGAGTACGCAAAACGTGGAGAGCGGTCGGAAAATGTCGAATAATTTTACTATAGCAAAAAAATATTTTGGTGTTAGCACTGTCCTTTCAAGAAGTTGCTGGAGTGATTTTCTCGTCATGCACTGTGCGAAAACCACAGTTCGCTTTGAACTGTGCAATTTCTTGTTTTTTGCACCGTGCGATAGGCGTTTTTGGGCTGTAGCTCGCATCCTGATTTTTTCAACACAGTGCATGCCGCCGAAATAACTGCAGCGGCTTTATGAACGGACTAGTACTAGCAGTAACACTACCGTAGATTTGTGTGCGCCAAAACTGTTCAAAGCACAAGACAAAGGATCACAAGAACAAAGGAGAAAATACGTCCTCCCACAAAACTGCTCGCTTGTTACACCCTTCTAAGAGTCTCCAAAAAGAGATGACCCGCATCGTCGGGACATTAGCCCTCCTGTAGCCATGACGATCCCTCAATTTTTATGCAGCTTCAATTTTGGCAGAGGAATCGAGCGAATTAGAGATTCGTTGAAACATGCACATTTTATTTACAATCATTCAGCCGGCTCTCACGCCGCTGACGAGTCTTTTTATAACTATTAAATATTATTTTATGACTTGTGACTTTGTTGACTCGTATAGTCCAAGATCTCCTCGTCAGCAAACGCGAACTCGTCATGAACTTCCAGGATGTTCATCTCGCGTCGCGGACTCGGCTCCGCGTCCTCGAAGGAGACACACTTCTTGAAACGAGTGTTGTTTGTGCCGTTTGTTGAGGCGTTTTTTGCGTCGGGAAGGAGGTCGCCGCCCTCTTCGCTGACCGATTTGTGGCGCTTGGCCGGCTTGAGGGTTGGTGGACCGGGCGAGGGCTGAAATTGGGATAAAATTCGCGGGTAAAAAATTTCACTCTAAGTTTCCATCCGTTTATCAGGCTGTCGGGAAAATAATAAGCACAATGTTGCAGCGCAAGTCCCGTTGCTGAGATAAAAAGCAATTTGATTTTGCCGCGACACAATTAATTTTTTTCGGCGACAACGCGATTTTCGATATGCTCATTATTTTCCCGACAGACTGATAACAAAAAATCTTTAATTTCCATGAAAATTTGAAGAGAAGATTGGTATCTTTTGATGACAAATGTAAAATTTCATCAATAGGTTACAAAATTTTCTGGTAGAAAATGCCGTTTTTCAAAAGCCTTGGGCACTTTTACGCAGTATCTCCGCCAAAAAAGAGGATAAAACTTCCTTTTTTCTGGCACCAGCGAAAAGAAGGTTTTGCAGCTTGCGCCCGAACAATTCCGTTTGCAAGGAATATCAGGCTTAGGCAAGTTAGGCTTAGTTCAGCCTTAGGCTTAGTTTTGTGCTTAGGCTGTTTCCTATTTTTATTCGCAGTCTGCAGGGAATCGAGGGTGCAAGCTGCAATGCGCCGGGCCAGAAAAAGGAAGTTTTTCCAAACAGAGTGCCAAGAGCCGAAATTTCCGCCATTGAGTCTAAAACCGGCTCTAAAAAACCAGCCCGAGGAGTGCCGGCGCCAAACAAATGCGAGCCGGTAAAACATTGCAAAGAACAGTGTGCACCGCGAAAAAAGTCCACCAACTATCGGAATGTCACTTCTCGAGCCGAACATTTGGTCACAATTCGAGACATTTATTTTTTTCTGCGAATAAGCCAAATTATTTTCCCGACAGACTGACATGTCAACTCACTAATTTTATCAGTCTGTCGGGAAAATAATGAGCACAATGTCGCTGCGCCGATTGAAGTGAAAAGCAATTTGATTTTGCCGAGACACAGCTCATTTTTTCGAGCGGCTGAGTGCTTATTACTTTCCCGACAGACTGATAGCTTCAATTTTCCCTTCATCTCCACAAATCTCCGGCTTACCGGCTCTTTGAAGACATTGTTGAAGGCATGCGGCGAATACCCGTTATTGTGCCGCCCCTTCCTGGAGTGCGTGCTGGCCAAGCTCTCCAGGTCGAAGTCCTCGTCGTAGGCGCGGCAAAACAGCCGCTTGTAGACACAGAGAAATAAAATTAGGAATATGGCGTTAATAAATACCAGTAAACAGTTGAACACGACTAGTGATGACATCTAAATTTTGGTTATTTTTAATAGTGCAGTAACTTACCAAAATCCGAAATTTATCGGAGCAAACAAAGTCCGTTTCATTTTTGTTGGCCTAAAATTGAAGATTTTGGATTTTTTATGTATTAAAATTGAAAATAACGATGTAAGGGTGCGAAATGTTGATGAAATTTGGCACGAATTTAGAACAATTGTTTCTAGGACAAATGCGAAACTCCTAGCTACCGCTTTGCAGAAACGACTGAGATTTTTAGATCGGAAGTTGGCAGAAATTTGAGGCTTTTCCGCGCATTTTGGCACTTCCCGGATGCAAAATGGTACGTTTTTGCCTGTGGATCAGGTCCCCCACTGTATATTTGCAGATACGATAAGTAGATTTTAGATCGAAAGTCGGAAAAATTTGATATTTTTTTGGCTTTTTTCCAATTTCTTCTATGCAAAATTGGCAAAGTTATATGGCTCGGGACTTCTAAATCTCTCTGCAAGAGTCCATCCGAACCCTGCAAATTTAGTACAAAGCTAAAAGTTGCGCAATCTGACATAACATTGCGCAATTTCTCTCTTTGTAAGAATTTCTGCCTTTCTCTGTCGCCTCCTCCTTTTTTGTCAACTTTTAACTTTGGACTAAATTTGCAGGGTTCGGATGGACTCTTGCGGAGAGATTTAGAAGTCCCGAGCCATATATAGGCTATAAAGTGTTTTTTTTTTAATCTCTGAGCGCCCTCCGCTTTTGGCGTACTCTCTTGGGTGCAAAGATCATTGAATATCTCGGCTACATCTGTAAAGCGCAAATTAAAATTCTCTGGAATTAACGTGTGGGTTATGCCCGAAATATGCCAAAAATTTCCACAAAATCCGAGAGTTCCAAGTGCCTTGTAAAAAAATCAAAAAAAAATATTGTAAAAAGCCTACTTGCAGCCCATAAAAGGTGGTTCTGTTGTAGCCGGCGCCATAGACCTTGTCAAAATCCATAAAAAAAAAGCTAACGAAAGGTTGTCTTGCACAAAACCTTGGAAAAGCTTTGTCTCTCTTCACGCGTTCGTTGCCTCGCAAAGCGGATTTTGCATATTGATTACTGTTTAAAAATGCTTTACATTGTTTCCTTCTTCTCTGTGGAGGACAACAAGTTTTATGTGTTTTTGGCTTTTGACGAGCAAATATCGGGCTGCCTGCGTTGCGACGAGGCGAGAGATTTTGCTGCAACAAATCCACATTATTTTCACGACAGACTGAGAGTCATTAACATGACAATTTGATCTGTCGGGAAAATTATGGCCACAATGTCGCTGCGTCGATTGTGTCGCTGAAGTGAAAGGAAACTTTATTATTTTATGATCAAGTGGCATGAAACATACCACTTTGCATCTAGGAAGTTCCAAAAAAATGTGGCAAAATACCTCCTTCTCCAAGTGAAAAAACTCGGATTTCAAAAGCTCGCTATTTTCGTGAGGGAAAATGCCCTTCAACACAAAGTTTTTTCACTTGGGGAGGGAAGCATTTTGCCACATTTTTGGATATTTCCCGAATGCCAAATGATACGTCTTTTGCCACTGGATCAGGTCCGCCACTGCAGCTGACAAGGGAAGTACCCCAAGTGCGACGCTCAGATTTTCTTTTTTTTTTTTTAATTTTCTTTGCGTTAGCGACAATCGCGGGAAAAAGTTGAAAATGCACGGTGCACATGCGAAAAAATAATACCCATGCTGTTTAAATTCAATTTCAATTTATTTACACTAATCACATGCAAAAAAATCATAGAGTGGATCATAATGGTTTCTATTGTCCGGTCAGGGCAAGATAGCTCCATCGGATGCCATGATTACTGCCAGCATCGTCGATTCATCTCACCCTGAAGCGCCCAAACGGTCGTGTACAGGGTGGGCCACTCGAAACTCCCAACCTCTTTTTAAGTATTTCTCCGCCGATAATGCACCAATTTCTATGAAATTTATATCAAATTGAAGCTGAGACACCCCATTTCTTGTCCACCAAATATGGCCCGTCTAACTTCACGGAGGCACCCGTGCTGACCTTTTACATTTTCATTCCAAATTTTGGAGCCTGAAATCGGTGAAACTTAGAAAATTTTTGGAATGATTTCCAGTTGAGTTTCTTGAAATTGGAAAATGCTCGCGCCTTTAACTAGATAAAACTCTTATAAGCAGCAGAAAAAAATGATGGCAGTCAACGGAATAGTCAAAATTATTCTTCAAGGCGTTGCTTTTGTGTTCTGGGGCGATAGGCTTAATTATTCGAAATTTTTCAAAATGTAAAAAAATGGGCGAAACTGTCTACATGCATGACGACATCCACCCCGAAGATGCATAGAAACTTCCCAGTCTTAGATTGCCCGAGAAAACAGCTTTCGTTCTCATTCGCCCAAATTGGTACCTCGCCTGATTGAAATATGGGCTTAACACACTTGGTACGGACGTAAACTTTGATGTTTTAAAATTTTTTCCGCGAATTTGTCGACTTTTTTCTTGCCGGTAATCTAAAAATTTTCTAAGTCCGAGAAACTCAATTGAAAATCATTCCAAAAAAATTCTAAGTTTCACCGATTTCGGGCTCCAAAATTTGGAATGAAAATGTAAAAGGTCAGCACGGGTGCCTCCGTGAAGTTAGACGGGCCATATTTGGTGGACAAGAAATGGGGTGTCTCAGCTTCAATTTGATATAAATTTTATAGAAATTGGTGCATTATTGGCGGAGAAATACTTGAAAAGAGGTTGGGAGTTTCGAGTGGCCCACCCTGTATAAGGGGATGTCGAATTCTTGCTGATCACTTCCGTTTCTAACGATTTCTTGAACTGCTCCAATTTTCCCTGGTTTTGAATTGATCTGACATTGCCAGTAGGAACTTGAAATCCTTTTGGTGGGATGAACAGCTACTGTCCCAGGCGAAGCCCTTTGTGCCCGCAACGGCATGGGTGGACAGGAAAAACCGACCGCTCTCCAGGAAGAAAAAATCGGAAACCCATGCTACTTAGAAAAGTAATGTTTAATATGTGTCTGTCGGGAAAATAATGAACATCTTATCGCTTCGAAAATCGCATCGCCGCCGAGAAAATGCCTTGTGTCGCGGCGAAGTCAAATTTCTTTCACTTTGGCAACATTGTCTCATTATTTTTTCGACAGATTGAAAACATAAAATTTATTGGTAAAAACACAATTAAACATCTGAGATCGTTGATATGTTATTGTACGACGTATTGTGAAACATGGACAAGATTAGGAACCACAACAGTTCTATCATTCATGCCCTTGTGTGAGTAAATTCAGTTGTAGGTTGGCGGTATCCAACATGACTTGGTCGTGGTTCATTCCTTGCTTCTGAAATTAGAAATTGGTTGATTGATAAAGGAATGGCCTCAATTTCAACGCTGTTTTTTTTTTTTTTTTTTTTTTTTTTTTAATTTTGCATCCGCATTGGACGTTTATCAGTCTGTCGGAAAAATAATGTGGATTTGTCGCATCAAGATTTCTCGCCTCGTCGTAGCTGCGAGCCAAATTTCCAGCTGTGGCTAGCCGTCGCAAAGCGATTACGGGCGATTTCAAGATGATTCCACATTATTTTCCCGACAAACTGTTACAAAGTAGGCATGGCTCTGAGGTCGAGCCGGGATGAAAACCGCGGCCCCACCCCTGCCCCGAAGAGTTCGTCAAGACCCTGGGCACTTTCAAATTTGCTTCTATTGTCTACAGTGAGGGACCTGATCCATTGGCAAAAAACGTCTTCTTTTGCATCCCGGAAGGGACCAAAATGACTCAAAACCATGCCCTTCTTTAAGCTAAATAGCTCCGCTTTGAAAAGCGCGCCCTTTCCTTCAAGGAGGGCTCTTCAAAGCGGGGTTTTTTTAGTTAGAGAAGGGAAGGGTTTGGAGACATTTTGGACCCTTCCGGGATGCAAAATGAGACGTTTTTTGCCACTGGATCCGGTCCCTCACTGTACTGCATCTCAAAAAAAAAACACCTATCAGTTCTTGGTTCTGCGTTTCTATCTTTCTTACTTTAGCAACCCCAATTTTCCCATTGAGACTCCGAATTTTAGTCATTCGGGGCCGATTTGGGGCCTTCCTTTCAAACTCACACGGCCCGGCCCACCTCGGCCTCAGAGTCATGTCTAATAGAGCCGCGTCTAATACAAAGCCGCATCTTACAGTCACTGCAAATAGCACTCACCACAAAGGCCTTGTCCTGTCCCTGAATGTCGCTGGCGAATCGTCCACAGGCACGATACCCGACCTTCTCATCTCCAGTCGAATAAATTGTGAAGATCTTCTCTCCTTCGTATCGTTGCCTGGACAAAACAAAGTTATTCGGAATAAAATTTCACCCACTTTGAGTTGATATCATTCAAAAACCTTGAGCCACAAGCCAGCCCATTTATCAGATTGCAGCTGCCGAACGGCAGCAGACACAAGAACGATCCGTAATTCGCGCCAGCGGCGCCGATAAAAGTGTGAACCAGATGAGTTAATGGGCCCCCTAGATCTTCGCCGGTATCCACGCATTTACCTCCCATTATGGCTTTGCGGGCGACAGGAGAGCCCATGGAATAGCCGATCACATCCACCTTGGAGCTGGTGTAATCCGCGACCACTTGGATAAACGAGCGGATCTGGAAGTAAAATGTTATCTTAAAGTTGTCAAAAAGCTGTGTGAAGTTGTATTGGCATTTTCATAAAGTGCATAGACATTTTTTTGCTTTTGCACAGTGCATTTTTGAACTTTTCCCACGCTTGTCGCCAACGCACAGTGCATTTTTATTTTTCTCTTTTCGCACAGTGCGAACCTCAAAAAAGCCGTTTGCACTGTGCAAAGATTTTGTCGCTTTTGCACAGTGCATTTTGAATCTTTTCTCACGCTTGTCGCAACGCACAGTGCATCTTTATTTTTTTTCTTTTTGCACAGAGCAAACCTCAAAAAAGAAAAAAACGTTTGCACTGCGCAGATATTTTTTTGCTTTCGCACAGTGCATTTTGAGCCTTTTCCCATGTATTTTTCTCTTTTCGCACAGTGCAAACCTCAAAAAAAGCCGTTTGCACTGTGCAAAACCAAACTTCTGGCGCCGCCGTAGCGACGTAGTCAAAAGTTGCTGATGTCGCTGCGATATCTCACCGCACAGTGCAAGACCAAAAAAAAAGCAAAAAGTGAAATGCATGGTGCAAGATGGGGTTTTTTATGCAAGTAGCGGACCACGACGTAAGTCCATGCACTTTATGAAAATGCTAATACTAGAGACGAAGAATTCCCTTACAATTTTCATGTGATGACAGTCCATTGCAAAGAAGACGACGTTTGTTTTGCCTCCATCGCCATACGTTGTCCCATAAACTTCGTAATCTCGGTAGCCATGAGTGTTAAAGTACTCTCTAACTCTTGCAAAAGTCGAGGCGGTATTTGTAATTCCATGTACTAGAATTACTGGGCGGTGACTGAAAAGGCTTGTATTCAAACTTCATTTACATTTTGGCCTGTTTTACGAAGAAAAAAATTGATTTTTTGTGAGATAATATTGCAATAAATACACAATATATTGCCTCTTTTAATTGCTCGTTATAAAATTATGGCGAGCAATTAGACTTACGGAGTGGGCGTCCTAGGCGTATGCCGATCTCCACCGCCCCCAAAACTGGCATGTGGACCTATGTCAGTTCGGGCCATCGTATCTTCCATCGCTTTTCCGTAATTATCCCTCAAGAATTTGCGAAATTGGTCGGATAAATACGAATTGGCGGTGATAAAGCACAGTATTAGAGGAAATACCTTTGGAATCATTCTGAAAAAGAAAGTTGATGGTCCAACAAAGAAGTGAGTGTAGGATATCAGGGAATTTTATGTAACGGAGAAAGTAAGAAAAGCGCTGTAAATATAAATTTAGAATGACTAGAAAATGGAATCAGTATGTCGGAAAAATAATAAGAACAATTTCGTTGCGCTGATCGCGTTGCTGAAGTGAAAAGCATTTGTTAAACAAGTAAGTACATATCATACTGTCTGCGACGAGGCGAGACAATTTGCTGCAACAGGTCCACATTATTTTCCCTCAAACAGATAGTCATCATATTGGTTTGTCGGGAAAATAATGAGCACAATGTTGCTGCGCCAATCGCGTCGTTTATTGTAGAGCCTCAAAAGCCTCCACAATTCCCAAACAAATTAGCATAAACCAACTCATATAAAAGCAACGTCTCGTCACTAAAAGGAGAACATTAATCTTATTTTCTCTTTTCTTTGTGTGCGGTGTCAATAAAACCCTATTCCTAATTTGTGTCTATTCTCAATACCTATCTACGTCGACCTCTGCCTATCTACGTTGATCATCCACTACACTCTGAAGTGAAAAGCAAGTTTATTTTTCCGCGGCACAATTCACTTTCAATGCTATTTTCTACGCGACAGAGTGCTCATTATTTTCCCGACAGACTGATATTATAACTCAAGCACCAAACCGCAACTTCTGACCCCCCAAAAAACCTCGATGATCACCTTCAATCACCATTTCCGAACCTTATATACCTGACGCATCCCCTTCGTCGTATTCCTTGAGTCACCCAAATTTACGTCATCGGAACAATAAAGGGAGTCGCGACCCCCAATAAATTAATACAGCTCCCTTCCAACAATAGCGCAAAAAGAGTAATAAAGAGTAATCCCTTGCCTCGGGTGGTGGGTGATTGAAGATAAAAGCGAAAAGAATGTTCCATGACCAAGGATGTTGTTTTTTTTCGCGGTAAGATCTAATTTGCTGTATAATTGGAAAAGAGAAAGGTTGGGAAATACAACCTTACTATTATACATACGTATATAGTCTGTTCGCAAAGCAGCTGAAATGTTTTTGGCATTTGCACCGTGCAGAAAAAGTCAGGATGCGACAGCCCTAAAAAGCCTATTGCACGGTGCAAAAAACAAAAAAGTGCACAGTGCAAAAAGAACTTTTGTTTTCGCACAGTGCTTGCCGCAGAAATGACTGTCGCGGTCCGCACCGTGCACAAAAACTTGCGAGTTCTTGCACCGTGCGCTCACCTTTTTTGTTTTGCACTGTGCATTTGAAAAATCGCTGCGACGTAAGCTTTTCTCAATTGCGCCGCAATTTTACTGAAAATGATCGCGAAAAGCAAAAAATTTTTTAGCTTTTGCTGTGCAGGATCAAAAAAAGGTCTTTTTTTTGCGCAAAGGCTGATGTTTACTCTTGATTTTACTAAATATTATCGGTCTGTCGGGAAAATAACGGCGGATCGTCGCGCCTTGGAATCGCCCATCATCGCTCGGCGACTGCAAGCCGGCTTGGGATTTGGTGCGCGATAGCGGCGAGGCGAGACATTTTGATGATATACAACGTTCAAGTCATGAAAATTCCTTCTGAACATTTGCCGCGGCCCGCACCGTGCACAAACTCCCCTTTTTGAACTGCAAAGTTCTCTCTGCTTTTTGCACTGTGCACGGTGCAAAAAGGGAAAATGCACTGTGCATTGGCGACAAACGTGGGAAAAAGTTCAAAATGCATTGTGCGAAAGAGGAAAAAAAATTTATGCATTATAAAAATTGCACTTTGTAAAAATGCTCTAATAAATCATAGAAAAAATGAATCAAAATTTGTGTCAAGTTTCATGCAGTTCTGAGCGTCGCGCTTGGAATAGATTCCTAGCTAAAATTAATCGAAATTTGACCTCAATGTCCTCAAAAGCCCAGCGCTGCACTTTTACGTACATAGTTCCCTTATTAATTAGAACAAAAAGTCAATGTCAAGTTTATATCAAAAACAATATGAAGTTATTTAATAACAGCGACCAACCACCGACCCAAAACAATCTAAAATAGATTGCTATATATGTCCTCAATAAGCAAGATGACTCAAAAATTGCATCTCATATACCACACGATGCGAATGTACAAACAAAGGAGTTGTGGAGGATGTCCGTTGGAAGGTCGGCTGTACGCGAATGCGTAAACAAAATGACCAATTAGTTTTTATGGACTTGTATGGCTTCGTGATCCGGAAGGGAAAATATGAAAAACATGAAGAGATATTGCTTTTGGCATTGGAAATTGTTGATTTATACATACCTTCCGGGGCAAAAAGTCTTGACAATTTTTTTCATGCCTTTTCAAATTCACGTTGTCCATTCAATGATCACATTTATCTCTTTTGCTTTATGCATTTTGGTTTTTTTTCAACGCCCAAGCCCATTTCAAGCCTTTCCGCACTGTGCATTCAGCCTATTTTTGCACCGTGCAAGTCCATTTCAAATCATTTCGCACTGTGCAGTTTCGAAATTGCTTTTACTGACAGGGGAAGTACTCCAAGTGCGACGCTCAGATTTTCTTTAAATTTTGCACACACGTCGGGTATGGACTAAATATCAATTCCTGAAAGTTTTAGCTCGCGCTTTGCTGGCGCCGCCGAGATATCAAACGATTTTTGCCGCCGAGAGAGTACGCGAAACGCGGAGAGCGGTCATAGAGAAAAACGTTTTTTGGCCATAACTTTGGCGGTTTCGTGCGGAAAAATTTGATTTTTTGTAGAACCATTATCCTTTACAGTAGAAATAGGCATGAAACTTTTCGTGCCGAAATTCGGCAAAAAGTCCTAAATTTTCGCCGACTTTCGATCTAAAAATCTCGGTTGTTTCTGCAAAGCGCGTGCTAGGATTCTCGCATATATCTTTAAAAAAATTATTCTAAATTTGTGCCTAGTTTCATCAAAATCTGAGCGTCGCACTTGGGTACTTCCCTTGTTAGTATCAATTCCTGAAAGTTTTAGCTCGCACTTTGCAGGCGCCGCCGAGATATTCAACCATTTTTGCCGCCGAGCGAGTACACTAGAGAGAAACACTTTTTGGCCATAACTTTGCTGGTTTTGTGCGGAAAAGATTGATTCTTTATCGATATATTACTCTTTACAGTAGAAATAGACATGAAACTTTCTGCGCCGAAATTCAGCAAAAAGTGTTAAAATTTCGCCAATTTTCGATCAAAAAATGTTGGTTGTTTCTGCAAAGCGCGATCTATAATTCTCGCATATATAAGAGCGAAGGAATAAGAATTTTTTCTCGAGCTCGAGAATGTTTGCTGGATTCGCTACCAATTTCGAAAAGTAGCGAAATGATCTATTTGCGACGTGGTCTCGGTAGCGAATCCTTCTTTTCGCGACCTCCGAAAAAAATCGGTCGCGAATCGGCGTTTTCGCTTCCTCCGCGAGAGAGAAGGTAGCAAAACGGCGTTTTTGCGACGGCGCGGAATTGGGAGGTAGCAAATCCGTGGATTTGCGACCTCCCAAATTGACTCCGCCCACTCCGGCGGAAATTTTTTTTTTCTAGCGCTCCGGTTTGCCGTTTTGAATATATTTCGAGTGTATAAAGCACTATTCATACTCTCATACATTTTTCTTGACAATAACAATTTATTAAAACTAATAATCCAAAAAATAACAAGGCGTAAGAGAGGAAACAGAGATATTTTACATTAAAATCGGTATAAAATAATTCTTGCTACTAATTCACACCTAAATAAATAAAAATACAGCCTCTTGGGAACACACAGGTAAACAATAATAAAGCTTAACATATGGCCAATAGAAAGACTAACAACATCTCTAATAAGTATGATATGGCCAGGGATGAAACAACAGAGGATATGGCATTGAAATCACGGTGTTCTGGACAATACTGCAAGTCCGTGTGGAGACATGGCCCTGGAACTGCCGGGGAGGTCCTGGATCTGCTGGGGAGTTCCTGGGACCTGCTGTGCGGGGTTGAACGGCTAAGACAGACGTAGCCGCGGCGTTTGATGGGGCCAGTCCTCCTTCTCCTAAAGCAAGAAAATAAAATAAAAATGTTTCTTACTATCTTGTAGACCCACGATGTAGACCCAATTCTTGATAGAAACCAATTCGTGCACATATTAGATAACTATCCTCATGTGGTCTCCAACATATGGCCTTCTGCGCCGGGTGTAATGGACAATTCTGCCTTCAACGACTTTTCCAAACGACTCGTCGATGCATCGATCTTCCCACACTCCATTCTTTTCAAGTTTGACCAAGACACATCTCCAATTTGACGCATCCCGCTCGGACCATATCTTATTGATAAAACCAAAACATCCTGATCCTTGTCGTTATTACTAAAAAAAATAATAACAAAGAGCAAGGCTTACATAAACTACGTCCAAACATTGAAATTCGGCCTTCGGAGCAATCGGCTTCAACAGCTCTTTCAAAAGGTTCGACTGTCCAAAAGACGGCAGACTCTTTTGATAAGACCGAGGAAATCCTTTTTATTCAGCTAAAACAATAACATACCAAGAATAAAGCTTACGTAATTGTCCAACCCGGAATTCGGCCCTCGGTTGCCTTCAATTCGGATCGAATGAACAGAAATCCCACGAAAATTGGACCTAAAATCCGTTCTCGGACTGCGTGGCATTTCGTCTTCACGGGCCGCGAAAACATTCGCAAATTCTTTTTCCTTTTTTTGTTTCCTTTTGTTGAATTGGCCAAATAGATGCAGAGAAGCTGAATTAGAAGACAACCCGACTCAAGGTGATCGCCATACCCATCGGGGACGACAAGGCTTTTTGACTCCATGGTAAGCTGTTTTTTTTTTATTATTTTTTGATTTTGGACGAGATTTCTAATTTTTTCTACATTATTCATGTCTAATAAATCTTTTTCA